GACTGAAAAGACAGCCAGACTCTGCTGTGCAGACCTCACCCCTGCAGGGCCCTCTTTGGGCAGAGCAAGGAACCCGGAGTCTCTGAAGCCCAGGTCCCACAATTGCCAAACCTGCAACTTCACGTAGTCTCAGAATGTGTACTTCTTTTTTGTTATTGTTGTTGTTTTTCTTTTCTTTTTTTCAGAGTTTGTACTTCAAATTGGGCAGGGAATGTGTGGTCCCTGAGTACAGAGAGCAAGCGGTCTGTGTACGTGGCTGGGGACCAGCAGGCTGGTCCCCAGGGCCCCTTAGCCCAGCAGGGCCCAGCACAGTGCGCCTGTGGTAATGAACTCAGCTCTTCCCCCTCTGCTCTCCCAAGCCCAGGGCAGCTCTCCTGGCTCCAGCTCCCCACATGCACCAATGCCATTGGGCCACTGGGTAGTAAGTAAGAATTCATCTGGCGTGGTGATTATTCTCACGAAATCTTTTAAAAATAATTATAACCAGGTTACTGGCTTGGGGACAGGAACATCAGGATAACAGTATATCACCTACCATTTACTGACTATTTACCATGTGCCAGGCTCTGTGCTGAGAGCTCTACGTGCTTCATCTGACTGGATCCTCAGAATAACCCCAAGAGGAAATACTAGTATTACCTCCACATTACAGGTAAGGAAACTGAGGCTAAGAAAATTTTTAGCAAGTGGCAGGGCTGGGACTTAGACCCTGATCATTCTGACTCCAAAGTCTACCCTCAGCTCCTCTGCCATATAGTGAGGAAGGGGAGAAGCAGGAATCCCAGATCCGGACACTTCAGAAAAATTGTGACTGACGGAAGCTTTCTTATATTTCCTTCCTTTCTTTTAAAATAATTTGTGAAGCCTAAGATAAGTATTAAATGTTAAAATTAGATTTGCCAGCCCATCAGATTGATGCGATATTTACCTCACAAAGTAACCATGGGCCTATCAGATCTCAGGGTTGGAAATTACTAGAAAGATGGAGGGAAATGTTTTGGAGGTTACAGAGGACCAGAGCTCCCCTAAATGAATGGCTCCATTTCTTAGGAGAAACTTGACCAAGGTCACACAGCAGAATAGAAACAAAGGCCAAGAATCCAACCCAGGTCCCCTGCCTCCCAGTCCAGGGCTCACTCCAAGCATCACCCTGCCTCTCAGGAAGTGTAAAACTGGGCAGTGAAAGTAGATAGTTATTTTCAGAGACACTCAAATGTCCTATAACTCTGCGAGTCTGATTATCCAGGGCATGACCGAGTGTGTGACACTGGCCGACAGATGCTGGAGCAGTTTTCTGGGTGTGCTATGGACACCGTTGTACCAGGTGCAGAGGTGCTGCTCAGCCAGCAACACTTCTGGTTCTCTTCCTTCGGGGCATTGTTAGGATTACACAGGGCCAGTGGGTTGTGGGCACGTACGATGTATGTCACCTCTGGGTTGGAGCACTAACTGCTGGTGTGAGATGCCTCTGCCCTTTCCCAGCCCTCGTAGCTGGAGATGTCCCAGATGGTGTATCTGAGGAGAGGCTCCTGAAAACCCACAGTGGACATGTAGCATGAGAAAGAAAAAAACCTTTGTAATGTTAAGCCACTAAAATTATGAGATTGTGTGTCACTGCAGCAGAACCTAGCCCATTCTGATGCACCAAAGGGGCAGCAGCTGCTCCCTGATGTCCCACCCCTTGCCCATTTTGCAGAATAAAAACTGTGGTAATCTGGCAACATGATATTTTCTAGACACAGACTTAATTCTTTGAGGCCATAAACCTGTGGTCTCTTGGGCTCGTTCTAATTTCCATGAATGTGTTATGATCAGATTCTTGAGCTGTGAGGAAACCTGCCATGCTCTTGACGTAGCACAGAAACAGCTTGAGAAACAGCAGCTGTTACCGCAGGGAGGAGACCGGCGCCCCAGAGCTCTTCTCACGCTCACAATGGCTGCATCCTTCTGTTGGGAGGAGCGGTTGTATTGAGGGGAGGAGGTGTTGATCTCTAGTGAAGACATTGGATCAATGTCACTCGGGCTGAGTAGACACTGGCTGAAGAATAGCACTAGATCTCAATAAATGGTCAGTTCAGTTCAAAAGGTGACCACTGACATCTGGGTGCAGGGCACGGGAGTGTAACAGTGATGAATCGGATGCAGTCCCTTCACCTCAGTAGCTCACAGTCCAGACAGACAGACAGATACAATGAACTAACTACAGTGCAAGGCAGAATGAAATGAACCTGTGCCACCAGCTGTGTGAGCATCCTGCTGCCGGCATGGTCGGCTCTGTGGAAGCATCTGAGAAGGCTGCACGGAGGAGGAGGAGGAGGAGGAGTGGGAGCTGAGCGTGGGAAGACGAGTGGAGGACAAAGGGATTCCAGCTGGAGGAAACTGCAGGAGAGGAGGGACGAGACTGGAGCATGCGGGCTTTGTCCAAACAACGGGGTGGTCTGGTGAGGCTGGAGCAGGTGTGCGTGAGGGACGTGGAGGAAGGAGAGGCAGGAGAGCAGGCCAGAGCCCGCTCACGAAGCCCTCGATGCCTCTGCCACTCCCACCCGGCCTTTGCTCAGACAAGAGTGAGGAAGAGAACTGCAGGCAGGTGGTCTCCCGCCCTTCACCTGCGTGAACGCACCCCCACACCTGTGTCCACTGCCTGAATTTGAGATGGACACAGGTCTTTTTGTAACAGCACACCCCACAAAGACCAAGCCCTTATACTTCTTCTTTCCAGATTTCAGGTTTTACTTTGTCTTTACACCTTAGACTCAGAGAGAATCCCAGAGGATTAAAGCCCAGACAGAGGAAGGGATGTGTCCAAGGTCACCCAGAGAGTGAATGATTATAAATGCCATGAGGACAGAAGCCACGTCCGTCTCTCCTTATTTCCAGCACCTAGCAGGTGCTCAGTAACTACTTGTTGAATGAGTACATGAAAGAGCCATCACTCTTGGGCAGTTCTTCATCTTTTTGCCAGACCTCAGCAAGAGAAACCCTACCTTTAAATGTTCACGTAGATAAGATCTAAGGTCAGTTACTAACCCAGATTACCCAACTGCCCCCGGAATCCAGTTTCAGAAACTGTCCCTTAACAATCACCCTGACTCAGGTAGAGGAAGGAAAGCCTGTACAGGCTCTGAGGGGAGGGGATGTCATGAAGACACTTGAGCCCTTGTCCGGGAGGTGGCGAGTGCAGAGCCAGTGGGTGCTGTGGCTGAAGATGCAGCCTTTCACCTGCAGTCTCAGCATCATGTTATTACACCACGCTGGGCAGTGTACACGCACTTCTTGTGTATGTCTCCTCTGGGCTACACAGCATTCTCAGTTGTCAGGGAGGAAACTGGGTCTCAGAGAGGCTGAGTGACTTGTTCGATTCCACACAGCTAGTTCATGCTGAAGCTGGGAGGCAAACTTGGGTTTTCAAATAGTGCACTCAATATCTGTAGAGCTGGCAGCACTTGCTGTATGAGGTGCTGGAAGGAAGAGGACAGAGTCCTGCTCTCAAGGTGTAGTAGAGAAGACAGGGACATGACACACCACAGAATAACACGGAGGGATGGCCGAGGGCGGTGGGAGCACAAGAAGGGGGCAGATAACTCTGCAAGGAGCAGGAGGGAGAAGAGAGGAGGAGATGCAGATAAGGACTCTGAAAACTGAGCAGAAACACCTCCCAGGGGAAGAGAGGGAGGACATGTCCACATCTTGGGCAAAGATATGGAGCTGGGAAAAGGTATGGTTTATTCAGGAAACGGTGAGCCATTCAGTACCTACAAATGGTGGATACAATTAAGCAGGAAAACTGAAGAGGGAAAATCCAGCCCAGAAGGTCAGGCGGGGCTCCACGGCTGTCACAGGACACTGGCCTCACAGTCAATCCAGAGGTGAAGTGAAGGGCAGGGGGATTATATCTTCTGGACAATGAAAGTTCATGCTCAGCTACTATTTCTCCTTCAGACCAGGGACCACCTGGCCAGAAGATAGCTTCCCTGTCCTAACAAGACTACTGTGCTGTGCGGACACCTGGGCTCCCTCCTCTGAGTACTTGACACTAGCCTTTCCCAAGGAGGCAGTGAGACCAGCTCAGCAGAACAACGGAGGGTGGCCGGGAGGAAATGACAGTCTCTTCCCAATCCTCCCTTTATAAAGCTACTCGGTGACTGACAACACCTCTGCCAGATTAACACTTGGTTTCTCTCCTCATTTGGCATCATTGCCAATATCGTTTATCCTAAAAAGCAATATATAGGCCAAGAAGTGAGTTACTTGGCTTTCATGGCCAGGGTTAAATCCTGTGACTGGTAGATCTATTGGGATATGTATGTCCTTGTATGTATGTTTCTTTTAAAAATCAGTGACTGCTCTGTGAGTCCTTAAGGATAGATGACCAGAAATCAGGTTTACACACCTTGTGGAGCTGAAATGTTCAACTTTCATGGCCCAAAGGACCACTAGGTGAGCATCATTCATCATCCACCTGCCTTCCAGAGCTCGTCTCACCTAATTCAGGGAAGGGGGCAGCACCTGTGACAGGTGTGGGATCTCTTTGTCCATGTATTTTTCTTACTGTTATAGCCCAGCACCTGAAACAATACCTAGTACAGAGTAGGCACTCAATAAATATTCAGTGAATGAATGAATCTGAAATACTGTGGGCACAATTCAGTTATGTGACGTCATAGCCTAGAAAAGATGCTTCCTTTGAACAGCCAAGAACACGTTAGATTCCAAAGGAGCACATCAAACATGAAGCCTACTCTATTGTCTCCTCTGAGCCCACCTAGGGGACTGGGATGAGCCGCATCCTCCCCTGCATGATGTCAGTAGAACTACAGAGCTGAAAGGGCCAGCTTGCAGACCTGAAGTCCAACTCTCTCATTACACAGATGGTGAAACCAAATTCCTGAGAGGGAGGCTGACCTGCTACAGGTCCCATACCCAGGTCACTTGGCTTCCAGGCCAGCCAGAGCTTTTTCTATAAAGCTTTGTATTCCATATGGAAAAGGAGAGAGAATGAGATGGATGGGGCGAACCAGACAGCTGTGACGGAGTACGTCCTGCTGGGGCTCCACGAGCACCCTCGTCTGGAGATGGTCCTGTCTGTGCTCTGCCTGGGCGTCTACTTTGTGAATGTGCTGGGGAACTCCCTCCTCATAGGGCTGAGCACACTGGACCCGCGCCTGCACAGTGCCATGTACTTCTTTCTCAGCAACCTCTCTCTCCTGGACATCTGTGGCACCTCCTCCTTTGTGCCTCTCATGCTAGTCAACTTCCTGGAAGCCCAGAGGACCATCTCCTTCCCTGGCTGTGCCCTACAGATGTACCTGACCCTGGCGCTGGGATCTACAGAGTGCCTGCTCCTGGCCGTGATGGCATACGACCGTTATGTGGCTATCTGCCAGCCACTCAGGTATCCAGAGCTCATGAGTGGGCAGACGTGCATGCGGATGGCAGTGCTGAGCTGGGGGACAGGCTTTGCCAACTCACTGCTGCAGTCCACCCTCACCTGGCGCCTCCCCTTCTGTGGCCACAACATCATCAACCACTTCTTCTGTGAGATCTTGGCAGTGCTGAAACTGGCCTGTGGAGACATCTCCCTCAATGCGCTGGTATTAATGGCAGCCACAGTTGTCCTGACGCTGGCCCCACTCCTGCTCATCTGCCTGTCCTACATGTTCATCCTGACTGCCATCCTTAGGGTGCCCTCTGCTGCAGGCCGGCGCAAAGCCTTTTCCACCTGCTCTGCCCACCTCACAGTGGTGGTAGTTTTCTACGGGACCATCTCCTTCATGTACTTCAAGCCCAAGGTCAAGGACCCCAACTTGGATAAGATTATCGCATTGTTCTATGGGGTCATGACACCCTCACTTAACCCCATCATCTACAGCCTGAGGAACACGGAGGTGAAAGCTGCTGCCATAGCTCTGCTGCAGGGAGGTCTGCTCTCCAGGAAAATGTCTCATCTTTACTGTTGCGCTCCATCTCTGTCAGCATAGGCTAGTTTATGTTGTGGTACTGACCTCAAATTTTCAGTGGCTTAAAACCATTAAGGTTTATTTCTCACTCCTGCTGCAGGTCCATTAGAGGTTGGCTGGGAGTTCTGCTATACACCATTGTCTTCATCCCTCTGGGACCCAGGATGACAAAGCAGCTACCATCTGGAACATTGCTAGTCACCATGACAAAGGCAAAGAGAAGTAACAAAGCCTACACTGACTCTTAAAGCTTCCACTCAGCAGTGACATGTAACTTCCATTTATATTTCATTGGCCAACACAAGGCACATGGCCACATCGAACATGAAGAGGGAGAAGCACAGCTATCGTGTGTCTGGAAGGAAAGGGAGGACTGAGAGATGCACGAGGAGCCTAATGACTAGCATGCCATCCTACAGAGTCAACACAAGAGCTACTAGAGATTTGGCTCCTTTTCCCTGACCATTCCTCAAAGGGTGCTGCCAGGGTAATATCCCGAGAAAGCTCTGCTTAGCTCACTTACGGTAGTTTGTACTGGGTTGATCAAACTAGGCTGGAAGTGTGCTTCCCAGAATTTCTTTCCATGCATGGGTCTGGGTTAGGGCTGACCACAACAAAAATCTGCGTGAGATTTTGAAGGCAAAAGTGGAGCAGTACCAGACACTGCAGGAGCACTCACATGTCACAAATTTGCCGGCCCGCTTTGTTGGCACAGCACATCCGGCTCCTACCAGATCACCTCCAGCAATTCTGAGTCCAGGGCCTTTTGCAGTTCCATGGAAAAAGGTGCCAGCTTCTCCTGCAGGTTGCCAGTATCATTGAGATTGAAGGCAGTGACAGCCAGACACAGGTTCCGGTCTGTCTTCCCAGGTTCAAGATCGCCCTTACTCTCTCCCCCACTTTATACTCAACTTTCCTGCACCCCACTATCAGTGCAGCTGACCTGTAGCAGCTACAGGCCCAACACCAAACGCAGAGGTAGTAGCTTTGTGGATTTCTCCAACTGCTCCCATGAGTGTATATGTCTAATCTCTATAATAAATCCCTGAAATCACTCCCAGTGGTGCTGCCACTTCGTTCAAACCCTGATGGATTCATCACTCTTACGATCAAGGACCTTTGATGGCTCCCCACTACCACAGCGTGAAGTCCAAATTCTTCAGTGAAATCCTCAAAGCCCTCCAGAATCTGGCTCCACCTGCTTCCTTGGCCTGATTTTCCACCACACCCTTCACCTGGGCCATCCTCTCACTCCATTATCCGTACTGCCTGCACCTCCAGGTCCTTGTTTATGTTGGTCTCTGATGACACCTAGGACTGACTAGCTTTCGTAGCTAGCTTAGACACCATCTTTCATGCATCCTTTCTCGATGCACTTCGAGATTATTCTCTGCACATCCTATAGCACTTTGTCAGGACCTTTCCCATCATGACTGCATTTGTGACGTTTTACCACCACAGGAGCTCCTTCAAGGCAGGATTCAGCCAGGTCTGGCTCATCTCTGCAGCTCCCGCAGAGCTTTCCCTATAGATTTGCTGAACTGAGCTGTCACTCAGCTCTCACAATGTCACCAACTGGGGATTGAGTTCCGTGTTGATAAATGTGCTCCAGGCAGCTGTAGGTGCTCAGGGGTCTCAGTCTGGTTGTATGCACAGAGTCTGCAAGGCAGCAGCAGTATCCACCAGCCACAGCCCTGTATTCAAGGCTGGCAGGAGTTGTTTGGATTTTGGGCTGTCCTCCACTGAGACAAGTCAGAAGACAACCAAGGATCCCCATCTGGGGAGCCAGGAAACCAGGGTTCCAGGCCTGATTCCACTGCTATGCCCAGCACTTAGTGCTGGCCTCCTCCGCCTAGATTCCCATAGGCACCTCAAACTCAAACTGTCCAAAACTGAACTCACCATCCCCTCCCCCAAAGTGGTGTCACCGTGTCAGGGAAGGGCACCATCACCCCCAAGTCAGAAACATGGAGGTCATCCTAGTCTTTCTCTCATACCTCACCACCCCATACATCGAATCAGTCACTAAGTTCTACAGAGTCTACCTCCTAATAGCTCTGAAATTGGTCCCCTCCTTTTCACCATTTCACTGTGTTAAGAAGCCTTCACTGGGCTGGCCCGGTGGCGCACTGGAGAGTGCGCCGCTTGGGAGTGCGGCGGCGCTCCCGCCGAGGGTTTGGATCCTATGTGGAGACCGGTTCCCGCTCACTGGCTGAGTGTGGTGCAGGCGCAACACTGAGGGTTGCGATCCCGTTGCCAGTCCCCGGTACGGACGCGACACCGAGGGTTGCGATCCCATTACCGGTCAGTAAAAAAGACAAAAAGGAAAAAAAAAAAATGAAGAAGCCTTCACCATTTCTCTCTAATACTGCAACAGCTGTGTCACTGCACTCGTGTCTTCTAAACTCTCCCCCAAATCCATCTTCCACAGCAGCCATCAAAACACCTGTCCAATCATGCTCCCTCCTGCTTAAATCCCTCCAGTGGTGACTCCACCACACACACACACACGCACGCATGCACGCACACACAAACACATCCAGACCCGGTTCACAGTTCCCTAAGTATCAGTCTTTCCTGCCTCTGCGTTTCCCCCTTATGGTTCCTTCCCCAGGTCGAAGCACTTTGTGGCTCTAGCTAACATAAATTGGACACATCTCATGTATCTGGATAGGCACGATACTAAGTGTTCTGAGGGCCTTACTGACTGGGGGCCAGACAGAATGATGGAAATCTCAGGGGAGGGATGCAATATGGACCCTGGTGATCACAGAAAACACTCTCCCCAACATCTTGGCATTATTACAGCTCATTTAATCCTCATTCAAACCCCCTCTTCCAGGAAGCCTCCTTAACCCCTCCTAGCCGGGTGGGATGCGTCCCAGCTCTGTCTCCCTCTTCAGTGCCTTCTGCGCTCTGCTGACACTGTCCCGAACCCCAGCTTTTGGGGTTCAAGCATTCTAGTGACCTGGCTTTTTAAGGTTCAATGTGATGGAATAATATTTCTGATACAGGAACAGTTTTTCTGATCTAGGAACAGACACCTAGCCCACACCCCTCACTCCTGCTCACCATTCACTTGGCCACATCGTTCTCTCAGTGCCCTAAGGAACAGATGTGATTGCAGAAAGCAGAGAACAAGGGGATTGTTTTACTGGCTTTGGGGCTTCTAAAGCCTATGCCCTGGAGGGAACAGAAAAGACTTAAGGCATATATAAAAGCTTTGGGAGAAGCAAAATAAGTGAGGCCCAGCCCATCCAGGTTAACAAAAGGGGGGAGGAGAGAGAGGAGGGGGGGTGTAGTGAGAGCACTGGCACATGAGGGTCCCAACAGCGAGGAGCCCGGGCCGCACCCCTGGACAGGTCTACAGGGTTTAAAATAGGGAGCGACTTTGTTTGTCAAGTAAAACCCAGAGCAGAAACCCAGAGCAGAAATGGCTTCAAAATTTGTCTGGGTAGCCAAGGCCTTAGACAACCTCACAGGTTTCCACCTGCGGCACAGAAGTGGTCGAGAGGACCTCAGGACTGAGAGGGTTACGCAGATGGCAAGAAACCTCCCTGCATCCCACATCATCTGTCGGGACCACTGACTGGGGACCAGATGGAATGATGGAAATCTCAGGGGACGGATGAAGTATGGACCCTGGTGACCAGACAGAACATTCTCCCAACACGTTGGCATTAGTTAAGACCCTCGGAATTCAGCTATGCCCTTTGTGAAAAAAGAAGAAATCTCAAATTGACAAAAGATTATTTCTAGCACTCTGGAAAAATGGGGGTTTAAAATAGAAGTTACATTCTCATGATATTTCTCGCACATCAGAGATTTGTGCCTGCTACTCCAATTTCCTGGGTCCTCGGCTTCCTTCCCTGTCGGGGTGGCTGTCATGAGGGAGGCCTGTCTCACTGATTTCAACCCTCTCAGCACACACACACCTCTATCAGCTATGGCGGACTGGGCTCAATAGGAATTGAGAAACAGGCATTAGGAAGTGTATGGAAATGAATGCAGGAACCAGATGAGAGAGATACGGGCGTGTACATGTTGGGGCAAAAGTTTTAGCCAGTATCTCCCAGAAGCTCATTCAGGCTGGGCTCCCATCACCCCTGCTGATTTCCTCAGGTTCCCTCCTGACCTCCCTTCCCCACACCCCAAGAAACAAAGGCAGCACTGAACCAGCACATATTTCATTAGAGACACACCAGACTCCACCTGCATAGACTCAGGATACCAGCCACCGCAACTCCTGTCCCAGCTCCATCTGTTCTGCAACCCGCCCTCCCCAGCATAGCACAGCCCAGACACTGGCTCTGGGAAGGACGCCTGAGGCCAGAGTTGCTGAGCCTATGGGATAATCTGGAGATTCAATTTCCCCAAGATGGATTCCATTTCCTCTAGAATGACTCCATGTTCCCAACAGGGCTTTGTCTCCCTGAGAAGCAATCCATGTTTTTAGGAGGGCTCCATATCCCTGGGAAAAGCTCCACACCCCTAGGAGGGACTCCTCGGTCCTGATGGGACCCTGTGCCCTGCATAGGCTCTAGTCCTTAAGAAGGATTCCATGGATGCAGGAGGACTCCAGCCCCTCGGGAAGTTCTCCATGTCCTGGAAGGGCTTCAGGTCCCTGGAAGAGTTCTATGTCCTTGAGAAAGACTCCACGTCCTCAAAAAATACAGTCTGTCTCTTATCCCTGGGAGGGCTCCATGCCCCCAGGAAGAAAACTAGGAAGCGCTCATATCCCCCAAGGGCCAGGCCCAAAGCCCCTCTCAGCTGGCACAGATGCTACTGACAGTGGCCCCTCCTGGGCCCACAAGGCCCAGCTCCTCCTGCTCATTGATGCATAGCTGGTAACCGCAGCCCCGAGCCCGGGCTCCAGATGCAACCCGGTGGTCAGTCTTGGCACGAGGGGGCAGCAAGAAGCCCACACTGCCAGCGATGAGCATATGCCAAATGCTATGAATGTAGAAGTAGTTGTCCTGGGTCTCCACAAAAGCATAGAGTAGGATGGCACTGCCTGCAATAAGGCTGCCCGGGCACAGGTAGAAAAGCCAGCGGCGCCATGTGGGTGGGTAGCAATGCCGGCGGCGGACGCTGCGTACTGTCTGGGGGAGGCAGAGAAGTGGGGCTCAGGAATGTGAGGCCCTAGAACCCAAACCAGAGCCAATTACTCTCAGGCTTCACCTGAGTCCTGGTTGTGACCTAAAGGTACATACCAAGACTAGAGTGGGCACTGTGAGCAGCAGGTGATGATGACGGAGCCCAAGCCCACCTTAAATTTGGGACCAGATACCCAGGACCCTGCACCCAAGTCCAGTTGGACTCTCCGTCCCCCCTCCCCCTGCCATTGTCCTCTCCACCCTTACCCAGGCTATTGCCAAGATCCCCAGGGCAAAGAGACTGGGTCCAAGCAGGTTCCAGAGTCCATGCCGGTCGAGCTGCAGAGCCATGGACAGCAGCATAGCCCCCAGCAAATACAGCACCTAAAGAAAGAGGACTCCAGGGACCGGGCTAGAGCCAGGGGATGGCACTCCAGGGGCTGGGCCAGGATGGCGAGAGGCACTTGAAATGCCCCTAGGGAAAGGTCAGGGATGGATTTCAAGTAGACCTTGATCATGGTTGTCCCCCAGGGCCCACTCTGGACTGACCTGCTTGACCACGGGCTGTAAACGAGCCATGGCAATGACAGTAACCCACACAGACATTAAGGAGCCCAGGAAATCACAGAACTGCAGAACATCGTAGTCCATGATGCAGAAAACCACAATGCCTGGCTGGTCACAGGCATGATAGAACTGCAGGAAGAAATGACAGGCATTGAGAGAACTTGGGGCAGAGATCCAGGTCTGTGAAACTGGGGTGGTGTGCAGCTGTCAGAGAAGCAAAGGTCAGAGGTCACAGGTGAGCAGAACCGGGAAATGCCTCACTCCCCCACTCCTGAGAAGAATGTGGTGGAGGCCTGGTCTGCTTCATAAGCCATGTGTATCTGGAAGCCCTGATCCTGGTCCTTGCCTTCCTAATCTTCCTGCTTCTGGAATGTACTATATAGAGTGCCAGGCCAGGGGGTCCAGATCTCTCAAGCTGAAGCCAAACCCTTCCCTATCTCCTGGTGCTCACCACAGGTCTCACCTATAACCCCTATACCTGGCCCAAGCTCTGGGGCCCAGCTCTGGCCTCTTGGCCAACCCGAATTCCAAACCTCCCCTGCGTGTCCCAGTTTCCCGATAGCCCAGACTCTGAATTGGGCTTCACTCTCTGGACTCACACTAACTGATCCTTTTCATTCCCTCCTACCCAATGCCAGTAAGAAAAAAGGCAGTTTCTAAGGCCATGTAGAAAAGCATGGCACTTCACACTATGAGGAAGACACGGGGAAAGGGACAGTGACCACCTATCCTACCTGCAGAGAACACAGCAAAGAATAGGCTACTGAGGAGGTTCAAAGAGGACACAGGGGACACAAGTGGAATTGGATCAAGCTATACTGGGCACCCTAACTAAGGAAGCAAGGTCTGCCATCAGCCCTCCTTGGTCTGTGGTCCCAGGCCCCATGTCTCTCTGGGCAATGCTATCACAGCCTCTGGCATCCTGCATTCCCTTATTTGTGAAAAGGGTTATCCAGGGATGACCTGAGCTCCCTTTATCTTAGAACATTTACTGTCACCTTCCTCAGAATTTCTATGTAGAATTCATGTGATTTGAGTATTTATCGATGCCAGACACTAAGAATATATAGGGTTTTAAGAACATCTTTGGTGCGAAGTTGATGAGAACACATTTCCCCCTGTGGACTTTTCTAGTGCTCATGTGCCTCATGAGACCACCAAAAGAAAAGACACTGGGTGGGACCTCTGAGGACAAGCAGCTCCAGACTGAGAACAAACATCCTAGGGACATGCTCATTCTTCTCATCTTCTATCATCCCCGCTCTGTGCTGCAGGGATGGAAGAAGGGTTAAGAAAAAAAGTAAAAGGCTATATTGGAGAAAAAAGGGTCTTGCCTGTATAAACTTTATCAAAATCTACTCATTGGAGCTGAGCTTGAGCCATGCCAGTAGACGTCAGTAGATCAAAAAAGTTTCCTAAGCTTCTGTGACTCAGTCTTGATCTCTGTCCCCTGCATATTACCCCCAGGTCTTCTGGGATCCATGCTACTGAGGGTATCTTGTGACATGAAAAACAAGTTGGTGTAGCTGCCAGGGTTGGAGTTGGACCACAGTACATCAGGCTGAAATGAAGCTGGGACAGGAAAATTAAGTGTTGTGGCATCCAAAGACAGACTTTGAAGTGGCTTGATCATTGACAGAAGAGACAGAAGGGACTGCTTTCAGCCCAGATCAGTTTCTTTATCATTCTATTAAAAAGCAACCCTAAGTTACAAGATTTCTGTGCACCAAAAAACAGGTCACCTTATTGACCTCAGTGAGACAGATCACCAGGCCCTCTAGAGCCATGTCATTGGGTTGTGGGTAGAGGGCAGGGATATGCAGTCCACAGCTCAGGAAATAGCTGAGCAACGCCCCAAGTCCTTCACTCACTGACAGCAATGGGGTCTCTGTAATCTCTGGGAAGAATGGAAACGAGAGAATCTAGCCTCCTATTTGAATGAGTTATAGCTGAGAATGAGAAGGTGGAGGCAAGGGTCAGGAAGAATGATTCAGGAAAAGGAGTGTCATGTCCTAAATTCGTATCACAAACAATGACACCCAACGTAAATCAAACAGCATCCCCCCTTGGGGAAAAGAAGGTGGGAAATTGAACCAGGTTGGCTGTGAAAATGGAATCCAGCCCACATGCAGGGTTGCCACCAACAGAATGGGAAAACATACTCAAGAGTCAGTCTCTAGAGACAAAGGATGAAAAAGAAATTGCTAATGTTTCCTTTGACCCTGTTGAAGATAAAATGGAACTTAATGTTGCTCTCTTATTTTTTGTTTCCTGCTTCCATTTCCTCTTGGAAACAGCTATGAGATTTTGCCAAGGGCTACTGAGAATTATGTGTGATGGTGTGAGGAACAGAAGAGATGAGGGGACAGCAGGCTTGCAGCTAGGAAACCAGCAATCAACAAGGAAGGCCACACAGACCCGGGATGTCACATCCGTCTGAGTCTTTGGGGATCTGATTGTAAGGACACGGGTAGCCCTGTGAAGGGTATGCGGCTTGAACTGTATGGGTTAGACTTGTACAGCTGCAGTGTTTGATATATTTTCCCTGATGATTTTTTATATTTGGTGTGGTTATGTTTTCTGATCTCTTGGTTGGCTCTTATCTTTTAAGAATTTGGGGAGTACTACTAAACTGAAGTCTTGTATTTCTCTACACACTCCAGGACTTCGGAGAAACTGAAGACAAGTGAGACATTTATCCATGCATGCTCACTGCACTGGTGCAAGGGGAGCTCTACACGTCAGCGACTACAGGTGAGGGGTCTCGAGTGAGGCCGAGTGAGAATCTTGGCTCTACTGCTCACCTTCTACCTGAGGCAAAGAACTTAACTTTCCCTCACCTGCAAAAAAGGATGATAATAAACGCACCTATCTATTACTACAGTGCTATTGTGAGGATTAAATTAGCAGTGTCTGACACACAGCACGTGTTCAGTAGATGTGATTTTGCTGTTATCATGAGCTGAACTATTTGACTATATACAAAATTAAGTGCTAGGTTTGTGGCCTGTTTTTGTTTTTAAACATATTTTACATCTGAAACTCCTGAATCATAAACCTACTGTCTGCTCCTATGCCCTGGATAGGAATTGATGTGCTACTCCCAGGTGTAGACTGTCCTGAATTTGAAGATAGGGAAGATGACTGTCACCTACTGTCCTGGTACTGTCAACTGCAGTATGACCAGTGGGTGCTTAAATGGACACTGCTGCAGCATAAAATAAGGCCAAACTAAGTAAAGAATGGGAGAAGGGGGACAACAGGGAACCTGCCAGGAAAAATGGTCTACATTTTGGCCTTGGTGGAAAAAGAACAGGAGTGAGAGCAAGACTTTAGGCAACACCTCAAAACTAGTAGCTTTTCCCTATTCTTTTGCTTATTCCCTTGTTTAAGAAAGGAGCTCTTTCTGAGGAGGCATTTAAGGCTCTGCCAGTGTTCCTACTGGAGGGAAGGTCTTTTCTTTTCAGGTTGACACGCCATTGTATCCAGATAATGAACAGTCGTCTAAAACTGAACACACTGGGGCCAATGCCCAGGATGCTTATGCCAGCCCCAGGAGAATGCATATGCTCCCCCCACATGCTCCAGGCTCCTGATACACTAAGGTACTCTTAATAATTGTGAATCACATTAGATCTGCACGTAGCCACAAGTGGGCTGGTAGAACAGCTGTTGCTACAGGATTTGGCAAGAAACAGTATAAAGGGCATCTGGCAATAAGAAAGAGAAACAGTGTCTAATATAAAAATAGAATGAGACACTGTCAGAGGAGGCCTAAAACAGAGCCACTCAAGCAAAATTGGGGTACATGCTTCTCACCCAGCTTAGATTGCCGAGGTCTCTCTATGCAGAATGGTTACAGCTACTCTTCTTCATCTGGGGATGAGTGTCCAGGAGGACCCCGTGAACCTCAGTTTGAGCACATTTGCCCCAGATGATAAGTAAGATTTCTGTAACTTTGACATATGTCTGATCTAGTGATGCTGGACACCAGGGAGACATGCATTGTCCTTTTTGATATCCTTATTGCCAAGACATGAGGAGAGCGAGTCCATCTAAGCTTTCTGCAGTTCTCACAGGCACTGTATGTCACAAGATGTCAAGAGCCCCGAAATGAGATGAAAAGATCCCTAGATGTGGCATCTGAGGGGAAAGAAACCTCCTTGGGGTTAAGTCACATTCGCAGACTCACTTTTCTGTCTTTCCTTATATCTGATGCTTCTTGTCATATGAAGCTTTCTGACTATGAAGGAGTAGGAAGACACAGGGAAAGGATTGTGGAGGTTCTGTAATGGGAGCGGAGGGTTTAAAACTATACTAATCTTCATCGAATTGTTCTCCTTTGAGCTGGATTTTATATCACATCGCCACTTCCCACAGGGCCTCTGGACATAGCTGAGTCCGTAAAGTGTCTTAGGATTCTGAAAGCCAGGCTGTTCTCTAAATTGCCCAATATAGAGACACCCTCTGTCTTCCAAAAGTTCCCATGAGAAATCAAGGAGGCCATGGTGACTGAATGGGGACACATTCCTACCATAAGAATGAACGTGCTAAAGATGGAGAAATCCCCAGCACAATGGAGAACATGAGCAGAGAGTAAATAGCCCTCACACCATGAAAGAACGTGATGAAGGTGAACACTCTCCACGCAGAGACGTGGATGCGGGTGCAGATTCTTGCCCCAAACAGAGGAGAACATGACACAGATGCAGACACAATTCCACACTGTCGGACAGAGTTTCTCGGCCAGTGTGTTGAGTAAGGGTCTCCTCAGCCCTCCTAGTGGACAGAGTGTGGGGCGGCTGGACCTGCACTTGTTACATTAAGTTGCAAACAGCTTTGTTCATTTACCCCAATGTTCCTTACAAAAATTACCATTTTCTATGCATGCCATGATAGGTTGGGAAGTACTGCTGCAGAAGACATAGTGAAGGTACAGACATCCCCAAACCTGTGGAGAACATGGTGGAAATACAGACCCTTACCCACCACCACAGACAAGGACACTGTGAAGATAGAGACGCCACTGCATACCGTGGAGAAGAACATGGTGAAGGTGTAGACAGCAGCTTCCAGCACATATCCGCTCCGAATGGCCAGGATCACGGGTGGCAAGAACATGAGGTTGCTCAGGCAGAGCAGGAGTGTGGACAGCAGCTGGAATCCATAGGTGAGCGCATCGGCACTGTCGGTGCAGCCCCAGCCCCGCCACCCTGCACGTGGGGAGGGCACAGGATGGAAAAGGAGAGAGGGCGCCAAGGGTTCAGCAGACACTTCTTGCCAAGCCCTATGCCACTGCTAGTGGAGGGTGTCTCACCCTGGCTCTGCCTCCCACTCTCTCCAAACCCATCTCCAATTCATGCTGCCCTGACCCCATCCCCACTCATGGCCTGCACACCCACCCCCTCCAGGAATCCCACCACAACTGCTCCTCTTGCCAAGCCCTATGCCACTGCTAGTGGAGGGTGTCTCACCCTGGCTCTGCCTCCCACTCTCCAAACCCATCTCCAATTCATGCTGCCCCGACCCCATCCCCACTCATGGCCTGCACACCCACCCCCTCCAGGAATCCCACCACAACTGCTCCCTCACCAGCCCGCTCACCAGCCTTGCACTCGCAGGCTGCATACAGGTAGTTGTGTGTGCGGAGCAGCTTGCACTGGCCGTAGGGCCCGCAGTCATCCACACATGGGGACAGGAAGGTGCGCAGACGCACCTCGGCCGTTGCATTGCGGCATTGCACGAACCTGCACACACACTTGTGGTCACCTAGGGTCCCAGGCTGCTCCCACCCCGGGCCCTGCCCCCCACACCCCACCACTGCTCACCGAGGCCCCACCCCACACAGGGAACGGAGGGTCAGGAACCAGGTCCCCGTCTGCGGGAAAGGGATTCGCAGCCTGGCCATTCTGGAGGTGGCACTGACAGAGAGGAGGAAACCTGCCAGGGACTCTGAAAGGGTAAGGGAGGGGTCAGGAAGAGGAAAGAGGGGGCAATGTGGAGTCAGGACCCAAGAACCCTCACCCACCTGCCCCAATTCCCAGAGACCCTAGCCTGCCCTTCCTCCATACCATCCCTCCCCCCACCCTACCACCCGCATCCTCTCCTCCCCCATTTCTCACCCCACCTTTGGAACAGGTGACTGCTGCATCCCCCAGGCTCAAGGGCACCTCATGAGTCAAGCATCCAAACACTGTCACGTTTTCCTGGCGCACAGAGTTCTGGGAAGGGCAGGTATGAAGATGAGGCTGTCAGCCCTCCCGGTGCACCCACCCCACCCCCAGACTCCTGCACCTGTTAAACCCTCCACGCCCTCAATGGACACACAGCCCATGCCTCCAGACCTCTGCACACCAAAGCTGCTCTCTCACCTCCATCTTAGGACAGAAACCTCTGTAACAAACACCGGATCCTCCACAGCAAGAAGCTTTCAAGGAGTAATGAGAAGGCAAGACCCCATCCTGAATCTTTTCTTTGGGCAGAATTGTTTCAATTCTGTCCAAGCAAGAGAGAATACCCTCTTTTCCAGTCCCATCTAGCTTACTGGGGGCAGCAGGGGCTGTCGCCAGATGCAGAAACTAGTTATGGACAAATGTAATTGTAAGGTTTTCAGTCATCTTCACCAGGACCTGAGGTGGGAAGCATGCATAGAAACTCCCTCCTCCTCAGGTGAAATGATCCTGGGTACCGAAATAACAGAATGCCCGAGAGATTAAATGTAGCAACTGGCTGGATTAAAGGAAACCGGATATCCACAGGAATAAATGTAACAGAATGAATGCCATAAGCTCACTTTATTCAAGGAGGATTTGGGCATTATGTATTAAATTCATAAAACAGGATAAAATGCATGAGAAAAAAATTTTAAATCTCCATAGGAAAATAAACTCTGTCCCTGGGTGTGGGCCATATATTTGACACCGACTTCCAAGCGACCAAAGCAAAGAAGGAAACATGATGAGTTTCGAGATTTGTGAGTCAGTAAGAACAAAGTTAACCAGAAGAAGCACAGCATCAAAGGGGCGGTTCTCAGATACATTTTCACCAAACGAGCACTGAGTGCTGTCACAACTGCTAGCGTGAGTTTCATACAACTAGCTTATAACTTCCCTCAATGCAAGCCCAGGGCAATATGCCAAAATATCATTCAGTGAAAGTCATTCTAGAAGGCAGCCAATGAAAAAATGTCCTCTAGGTATTCAGTTCTCTGATCCATATGTCCAGCTCTTGATCCAAGGAAAAAATCAAAATATCTGGAGGGAAAGATCAGATTAGATGTGCCCATATACCTTTCACAGTAAATATAACAGGCCATCTGCGGTGTGTGGCAAGTGTCACAACATGCACGTGGGTGGAACGTAAGCAGGTGCTCATTAGAGTGAGTGGACAGGAATGCAGACAGAGGGGGAAAGGGACATTGAGGGGCCGGGCCTCTAACCTCAGAGCACTGAGGAAGAAAGAATAAGTGTGGGTGGGGCTGGCCTCTGATTCGAGCTCAACAGTTTCAAGGTCAAATCAAGACCTCACCGTCATTGCCCAAAGGCATGGCAATAAGCAAACACAAAATCCATACAGTCTTAGAACAGAATGAGAGAGAATTTAAGTTCGAAAATAAGGAACATCTTCAGGTTGAAAATCAGCCCTGTTCTGACTAGCAGGATCACTAGAAAGTCCTGAGCCATGCCTCTTAAGAGGCCACATCAAGCCACAGACCAGGCCTCAGGCTGGCTGACTGGGAAGTGGTCCCTGCCCTCACAGCTGGAAGATAGTAGAGTCAAATAGATTTCTGGCTGGGGAAAGAGTACATCAGTTGTTGGATCAAAGCCAAGCTGAAGATAATCTCGAGTGGCCCGGCACAGGGCTCTGCCCTCATTCCACTCTTGGAATGCCAGCAATAATGCCTAAGAGGTACAGAAGGCTGGCTTTGCAAGGCTCAAACCAGTATTAGGCAACGCCCCAAGGATGGACATAAATTCTTCCATTCAGGTTCAAAAATTCACTGCAAAAATACAAGATGGGAACTGGCAGCAGTTCACAGGCTTGGGGCCCCAAAACGTATATTCCCTTTGATTGCAACTAGATAAACAAAGCACTTAATGTGGAGGACTGGGAGGATGAACCCAAAATTAAACAGTTTTGTTAGGGGGATGTTTTCTCCTGTTTCCCAAAGTTTTTATGTGATGCTGTTACTTTAACAATAAAAAAGTAAATGTATACAACTGTTTTGAAGAAAATAAAAATGAAGGAAAAAGATGCAGGGATCTTAGTTCACCACAAGCCCCAGTGGAACCCACAGTGATGTAGCCGCTGACAGAGGTAAATCTCAGGCTGCACGAATACAAATCCTGTCACCTGCAACCCTCGTCAGACCCTCTCTGGTCATATATTCCAGGGACATGATGACCAGCAGAGGTATGACTAGAGGAGAGAGTGGAGCAGGGCAGAGGTCTAAACAGCAAGGTCCCTAAGACAACAAGGTTGTTCAGCTTTTGGGAGGTCAAGGGAACATCTGCAGGGCTGTTAAAATAGGAGAGGGATGTAGCAAATGCACTGCATCAATGTAAGATGTTGATAATAAGGGCACGGCGGGGAGAGAAGGGACATATGAGAACTCTGTACTTTCTCCTCCACTTTTCTGTAACCTTAAAACTGCTCTAAAAAATAAAGTCTACTAATTAAAAAAAAAAAAAAGGACAGGGATAAATTTACTGGATATGGCTTCTAGTGCAAGACAAAGATCAGTAGGTAAAAATTCATGGAGGCAGATTTTGATGGAATTTTCTCAGGAATGCCTTTAGCAATCAGAGCTGTCCAAACATGGGCTGCATGGCCTCAGGACGTAGTGAACTCCTCATCACAGGAGACATGCAAGAAAAAGTGAACAAATGCCATAGAGGGAGGCCGTCAGTGAGCAGGAGGGTAGCCTACAAAACTGGGAGATCCTGGGCCACTCTGGGTTGCCCTGGGTGACCCAGCCCATAGGTAGCAGAGTCAATACACAGAGCATGTTTGTTGACCAGAATTGAGCTGAGAGATGGTCCCTAACTGTAAGGGTGGGTGGAAGCAACCTGGACAGACTTCCCGGAGGAAGTAAGGGACCCCACACCCCTGACACCCTCCCCTTCGAGCTCCCCCGCAGGGCAACCTCCCCACTCCCAACCAAGATTACCGCATTGAGCTGGAGCTCCAAGCTGAGCACACCTCCACTGTCCAGCACTGGCAACAGCCTCATGGCAAACACAGCTGGGCGCTCAGAGGGGAGGGCCACGCTGGGGCCAAAGAAGATGTAGAAGTGGACAGAGAAGGTGTCCAGCTCATTACGCAGAGTTGGGCGTACTGGCCAGCAGTGTTCAGGTGGGGATGTCACTCCAGACCCCTCCAAAGGGGTCCCAAGGGATGGTGGCTCTGGGGGCAGTGGCTGGTTGCCCAGTGACTGGGGCATGTTCATGGCAGCTCCAGGAACCAGGGCACGGGACAGGCTGGGACGTGGGCACTCTGTGGGGCAGAGGAAACCAGAGCTAGGGCCTGCAGCCCCATCACAAACCAGATCTGAATGCTCTCTACCCTAAGTGAATCATTGTGCAGTATATACACGTACTGAAACAACACACTGTACCCCATACATACGTATATGTTAAAATATAAAAACAAAAAATAAACAAACAAAGAAAACAGATCTGAGCCAGATAAGATTTAGCAAAGGATGGGGAGGGGTGACAGCTAGAATCTGATGTCCCTTGGGAATGTGGGGCATCCAGGGTCACAGGACAGAACAGAGTCCAGGAGCTTCCTAGTGGTCAAAGCTAATGGAATGTCATGTTGGAGGGAATCAAGGTCATCTCTCCCTTCCCAAGGGCAGTGAAGATACTGTTGAAAGAGATAACTAAGTGTGACAGGCTGTCTCACTAGCTTGAAAGAGGTTTGGCAAAGACAGTGTCCCAGAGGTCCTGGCTGTTCCTGCCTACCCCCAGGAAACTGAGAGATTAAATCAAAGAAAGTAATGAGATCCTTTAGTTGTCCCAGGTCAGGTGCCTGAAGGCCTCCCAATGACTTGGAGCTCCAAGTGGGAGGGCTTCAGGGAGTGTGAAGGAGACTGGGTGCAGTGGAGGAGATTGCAGGGACATGACAAAGGGACATGACAAAGGGCCGCTGAACACCGCCACCTAGGTCACTTCCCAGCCACAGATGTCTGCACAGGCTGAATGGCTGGAGCAGATGTGGGGGTTCTGACCTTGCAACTGCACACACAGCTGGAAGCGGATGGTCCTGCCAGGACCCCGGGATGGTGTCTCCACACGCACGTAGACCCAGTGCCCCCAGGGGGGCAGTGCCAGCTCCAGCTGGCATAGTGAGGCACTTCCACAGGCCACAGAGCTTGAGTTGTGCAGAGGTGGGGCCTTAGGACGTAGGCGCAGTGTCAGGGGGCAGGCAGATACCCCACGGCCCCCCACACACACCAGCTGTGCTGAAACCCTGTAAGTGAAGCTAGGCACAAAGACCCTGGGAAGAGGAGAGGTTGGGGGTAAAAAAGGAGAAAAAGAGAGGTGAGAGGGACACCAGAAGGAGGGAAACACTGGGAAGAAGGGGGCATGGAGAGGGCAGGAGACACAGGGGAACAGGAGCCATTTTAGGTCTTCCCTCTGTGCTGGGAGAGAGGGAGGCAGGGGTCTGACACATGCTGAGGACTCTAGGTCACCTGGCAGTACAGTTTCGCTAGAGTGAGAGCAGGATTAGGCAGGTAGGCTGAAGAGCCAACAGAGAACCCTGCAACCTGCCTGAAGCCAGAGAAGGAAGAGAGAAAGGACCAGGTTTGGGGGAGTATTCGACTTACTTGTACAGGGCTGAGCGATTGTGGGGGGAGAGGGTCTGCTCTGAGGGACGGCCAGGAACCAGCACTGCAACATCCAGCAAACGCCGGACAATCAGCTGCGGCTGAAGGAGGTACTGACACTCATCCTGGAGACCCTGAGACAAAAGCAGGGGTGGTGGGAGGGAGAGACACAGCAGGAGCACTACTAAACCAAGGCAAACAGAACCTGCTGGACAGGTCAGGGGGAAACCTCCTCCGGCCTCCCACTCCCAGGGCCCTTACCGAGGTCTCTCTAAGCTCTGGGTCCTTCCTGCCTAAGCAGTCATTTCTGATCACCCCCGTCCTACTTATGACTGCACAGTCTGCTGTAATCCTTAGCACTGGCTGAGATTTTTGGACTCAAACCCAGGCCCTCCTGACAATCAGGCTTTAATTGCCCCTTCTCCCAGTCTAAGCCTTCCTGGACGTTCCTGGCTAGCCCCACATCACTGTAATCTCAAACCACCCACTCCCCCACCAGGCCCTCAGGAACTCAAAACCCTGGCTCTTTTGGGGGGTCAGAAAGCTCCTTCAAGGCCTCCAGTCCAACCCCACCACCACCACCAATCGGAATCTTTAATTTCCTTTATTCCCCACTCTGTCCCTTCCTAAGTGCTCATCTAGCCTCTGCTTTAATAACCCTGGTGAAGGGCCACTCATTACCTCCCAGGCAACCTCTAGACTATAAGCAACTTAAGAACAGTAACCTTGTCTCATTTTATTTTTGTTCCTCCAGACACAGGGCCTAACACAGGGCCTTACAGATGAATGTTTGCTGAATAAATGAATCAATAAATGAATGAGCCCAGCTGCGGGCAGTTTTGTCCTTTATGAAGCCAATGCCTGTCATTTGACTCATCTCCCATTGCTCTGGCCTTAGGGGACCCACAGATACATCTGCTCTCTTGGCCTCAGACTGTGTTTCTTCTGTTACTAGAGGACGACCACATCTCCCCCAGCTCTCTCCCCTGGATAAAATCTCTAGGCCCTTCTTCTCTATTTCACTGACACCACCCCTCGCCTGCATGGCCTTATCACTCTCTAGTGAGCACAGGCCCATTTGTCGTGGTTCCTCTTCTGCAGCATTTGCAACTACAAAAGCCCTACAAACCTAACAGTTCAGGGGAGGAGGAGCTCCTAATTAGTCTTCTCTGACCTTCTGGACAAATGGCCTTTTGCTGGCCCAATAAACCAGAAGCCACCATTCACTTACGTGGTTATTCTGACCAAGACATACATCTAAATCCTGCTCTGGACAAAAGTTCCAGGCCCTGACATCCCACTGAGTTCCATGCCATAGAGCAAGCCAGCCACAGCCTGACTTCCAGCATGCTCCACAAGGCAGGAAGGAGGTCTTGATAGATGCCAGACGGAAGATCTCATTACCCTCTGCCTGGAATTCCTTGATAGATGCCGGACGGAAGATCTCATTACCCTCTGCCTGGAATTTTTCTGCGCCTTAGGCATTACTGCATCCCCAGTGCCTAGCACACCACCTAGCACACACTAGGTGCTACATCTTGATAGATGCCAGACGGAAGATCTCATTACCCTCTGCCTGGAATTTTTCTGTGCCTTAGGCATTACTGCATCCCCAGTGCCTAGCACACCACCTAGCACACACTAGGTGCTACAAAACAGCTATCGAGTTAAAGAATGGATAACAAAAAGAGGGTCCCTTCAGAAAGCTCCTGAACTGACCTAGTTGCTCAGAAGCTTCCATCTCTGATGTCTTGGATGTTTTGGATGTCTGAAGGAAATCCAAAGCATATGTCCTTCATCTTTGGTGTCAAACCCCACGGACCAGAAATACTCTCACAAGTCATTTCCTTGACCCCACCTCCTAAGGCAGGAATCACCGCCACAACAATTTTGCAGTGAATGAGTCCCAAGGGTGGGGGGGCTCATGATCAGGAGGTGGTCCATTTCCTTCCTAGACAGTCCAGGGGAAGAAACACTTTGCTCCACCTTTTGCTCGCTGCTGACCTGACTAAAAGATCAGCTGACATGAACTTTCTGGTTAAGATGTACTCCTTCCTTATACTATATATCGTGAACATCTAATCCCCATCCCTTCATGTGGAGGGAGCATTCAGTCAGCGGAGACCAGAGAAGGTACAGGAACCTTCTCCCTATAATGCAGCCAGAGAAAGGGCACCAGAAGTCAGGTCCTCAAGAGCTGCCAAAGCAGAAGCCAAGCGAGAGAGTCCAAACTGAGTCAACAGGCTAAACCAACATCAGCAGTCACGGAAGGAACAGGGCCAAAGCAAGGAAGCTCGAGAAAGGAGGAGAGCCAAGAGTGCAAAGTGGAGGAATAGTCTGAAAGATCCTGGAGTAGAAGGCAAGGTAGAGGGATTCCTAGAATGTCCTTGTATGGGCTGGCTGCGTGTCTTTAGAAAGGCCTGAGTGAGGTGGCCAGTACCAGGCTCTGGGTGAGGCTTGCAAACTGAAGATGCCTGAAGACCCGGCCTTCTCTATGGAAACACCCCAGGACTTAGCACAGCCCCGGCCCACAGTCAGTCAGCACCAATCAACATGGGAGTAAATGAGTGCTGGAGAGACTGCAGGCGCAAGAGCGGAAGCAGGGAGACTGTGTAGGAGAAAGCCGAGGGAAGCGTGCTGAGAGTGAAGCAGAGAGAAGTAGATGCATTCGGGGCGTGCTTTAGAAGTAGAGTCTACAAGACTTTTTTTGTTTGGATTGGATGTGGGGAAATAAAGGAAAAGAGGAATCAAGGATGACACCAAAATTTGGGGCTTGAGCAATTGGTGGATGATGATACAATTTATTGAGAAAAAGAAGAAGACTAGAGAAAAAAGAGGCTTGAACTGCGAGAAGTGAAATGGGAATCGAAGAGTTTTTTACTTTTAGCTTTGTTTTGATTTGTACCTACTAAGTTTGAGCCATTTTTTAGAAATCCAGTTTGGAGATGTCAAGTTAGCAGTTGCATATAAAGCTTGAGATTCAAAGAAATTAGGACTGGCTGAAAACTCTTGGGGTGCATTAACTTAAGATGGTATTTAAAACTATTGTGCTGGAGACACCAAGAAGGGAATGGAAAGATAAAAAAGGAGTTGACCCAGGACCAAACATGGAGCCACCTACAACATGTATAGATCAAGCAGAGAAGTCGGGAAAGGACACAGAGAGCAGGAGGAAAACCAGGGCAGTTCCATAAACTCACAAAGGCCATGAGGAAAAAGTGTTTTAAGAAAGAAAGAGTAATACAAGGAACTACTTAACAGCTAGTTACTAGTTAACTCTGGGGACGGGAATCGGGGACTGGAAGGACTAGAAGGGAAGAGGAGGACTTACTTTTCACTGTATGCCTTTTGTACCTTTCGAATGTTGTAGCGGGTACGTATATTACCTATTCAAGACACAAATAAAGTGAGAAGGAGGAGGAAAAGCAGAAGAAGCACTGTTAGCAGATTTTCACCACTTCAGTTAAAACACTGAGTAATGTTTGGTCCTAGGTGGTGGTTTTAACAGAGCCCTTTGTTATGTATAATCTGCTTCTTTGCTTTCCACACAGTTGCCTTCATTACTTTACCTACTTTCATTTACTTTCAAATCTTAGACCTGGAAAGGGGAAGCATTCAAGGAGAACTCGTGCCCTAAACATTCGGGAGACCTTTCCCCTTATGAGCCACCTGGGTGGCAGTGGTATCCACAAGCCAAAGGACAGCCCGTCAGGACAGACTAGCAACTGGGCACCTTACAATGAACACAGGAAAGGCAAAGAGGCAGAGGCATGGGGGCAAGACAGAAGTGGTGGACAGGAAGAAGGGGGAAAAGGAAAGGAGGAGAAATGAAATCAATGTGGAATAGTATGAGTCTGAGAAGGTGAGAGGAGGGCAACAAAAATCTGCTGAGCCCCCACCATGTGCCAGGCTCTGTGCTGGGTGTTAGGATATGTTGTAATAACACAGACCCAGAGTCCAGCAGAAGTATGGGACTAGCACTCAGGACAGTGGCCTAGACCAGAGAAGTCACTTTCCTTTACAACCTTTCGAGGCTCCCTATCATTCTCAGGACTTCCAGGCCCTTCACGATCTGGCCTGTGCTCACCCCTCCACCTCCTTCACTCACCCCACTTCAGTTCTCCCTTCCAAGCTTTGGCCCATGCTACTCCCACCACCTGGAACGCCTTTCCCTGACTTCTCAACCTCAGGCCTCACTTCCTAACAGTTTCCTAATACCACTTCCGCCATGCTACCAAGTGAGTTAGCCATCTCTCCTTTATCCCCTTAAAACATCTCCTGGATCTCACTAATATGCATTTTATTTATCTCTCTGTTCCCAGCACCCAACCCAAGACCTGGCACAAAGCAAGTGCTAAAGGACTAAGGGCTATAGGGAGATCTAAGCTCATCCCCAAAGCTGAGGAGGGCCCTAGAAACAGCACTGCCTTCTTATTGCTGGGACTCTTAAAGGATATCCCTGAACCCACCTAACTTCCTACGTTTGCCAGTCCTCACAGGAAGTCAAGTTACAGGAATGCCCTGGGCAATGAACCCACAGGGTAAAGTCTGGGAAATTAACCAGGGTGTGCAGAGCTTAAGAATCCTTCAAGGCCAGAAGTTAATCAAATTCTTAGAAGACACAAGATCCTTGCCCCATCAACCTCTAGAAGAGGCCTGGCTGAAGAGCTATGTCTCTCATGGTGTCCAGACCTGCTGCCCCTCATGGGCAATGGGCAAGGTGCAAGTGTGCCCTCTTTTCTCTAGTCTCGCCACATCCCCGGGGAGCTCTGCTGGCTAGAGCTCCACTTGCAGTACCAAGTCCCCCAGGCCATGCTTGCTATATCTAGGTGCAAATGGGCATGTTAGGTATAGTCTTTTTCTCACTGCCCACCTCCCTTTGGTATGGGCACTTTGAATCACCCTTTAGGTTCTGAGCATCCTTTCTCTGTACTGCTTTCTCTGAGTCCCCATTGTCCCAATCTTGTAGCCATAAGCCACCCTAACCACTCCCAACCAGGCCTCAGCTCCCATAATCCCAGCCCAGGCCTAGTCCCCAGGTTCCTCCTGCTCACCCAGACAGGTTTTTGGATAACTACAGCAGGGCTTCAGGAGGATTTTCCCTGTCAGTTCTCACAAAGTGAGCCAAGGATCAGAGTTGAGTTTTTTGGGGGGGGGTTTTAGCTGGCCAGTACTGGGATTTGAACCTTGAACCCTTGACCATGGTGTTACAAGGCTGCGCTCTAACCAACTGCGCTAACCAGCCAGCCCCTGGATCAAAGTTGAAATCAAGGACAGGATCTTTGGGATTTGGCCAAAGACCTATGAAGATGTCCCTCCTAACAGAAGAACCCTTATTTCTGATGAAAGCCAAGGCCTACCTAGAACCCAGAGCCTCTTCCAGGAGAGCTCCTAATATGCTGTTATCCAGAGGGCTCCTAGGACTGATATCACTCTCAGGAAAATAGGTCTACCACTGAGGCCTAGAGATGCTACCTCAACCCTATCTCCCATCTCTGCCAACAGCAGTGCCAGTGCTCTTGTCCCTGTGTGATTCTCAGCTCATCTGAAGGCATTATTAATACCTGCTCTGAATGCTGGGCTCCGGCAGGAGGAGGAGAGGTGAGTCTGACACAGTCACAGAGTCCCTACCCTCAAGGAACTCAACCTGGAGTTACACATCTGAGTCAAACCTTCACCTGACTGGGAATTTCTGCCACTCCCAATTCTCAATGACAAACACACCCCGAACCCCCAGCTTTCTCATTCTACCATGTCCTGCTCTTTAAATCCTGTTCTGCTCATGCTCAGTCCTTCATCCTTACCACAGGCCCCACACACATGGTCATCCATTCTGACAATGGCCAGCTCATCACACCCTCCCTCTCCTCCAATAAACAGAAGTAGCAAACCTATAGATCCCCTCGGTACAAGGAGGAAGTCTGGCCTGTCTAACATGTGAGAGTGGCAGGAAAACATTGTGGCATTTCCTTCTCCTCCAAACCAGAGAAGCCTCCTGACCTTTGAACCTGACCTTCAGACTAACAACCTCTGCTCTATGAAATCAGTGCTGATATTTAGATGAAAGGGAGGCAACAGTCAGAATGGACACCAGATGCCCTAAGCCTCCTTTTAACAGGAAAGGGCTCCTCTGATGGTCTTCCATGGGGTGTGGGTGACCTTCAGACTAACAACCTCTGCTCTATGAAATCAGTGCTGATATTTAGATGAAAGGGAGGCAACAGTCAGAATGGACACCTGATGCCCTAAGCCTCCTTTTAACAGGAAAGGGCTCCTCTGATGGTCTTCCATGGGGTGTGGGGAGCTGTCTGACATGACGCCAGAAGAGGAGTGCGTTCTCCCAGAGGGACTAAAGACTGGGCTGCGGCCTAAGAGGGTCATCAGGACTCTTGTCAATCAAGACGTGGAACACGACCAGTCCTGGGTTTGTGCAGCAGATTTGACCAGTCGCTACTTGGCTTCTGATCACCTTGATTTGCCCTTGTGACTTCCAAACGAAGGAACACTACTCCCCAGTACCAGAGACCCTGATTCCAGACTCTCGACTTTCCCTTCACCTTACCTGGACCGACTACATCCTCTTAAGGCTCCCAAGCTGCCTCCTGCAGATCGTAGCCTCTGGCCTACCAGGAAACCTGCACACCTCTAGCCATGCCCCACCCCAGCCACCCTTGTACTGTTGCCCATCCTGGCACAAGGCTGGTGTGCCAGGTAGCCTGTGGGGGAAATTCAGCAGAGATGAAGAGGCAGCTCTGGCCGCTCCTGCCCTGGGCAGCATCAACCCACCTTGACAGAGATGTGGCCGTGGGCCTGGGGAAGGTGGGCAGCCAAGAACCAGTCCCCAGGCAAGGGGCTGCTGACGTTAAAGATGCCTGAGGTGCGGTTGGGCAGTGTCCAGCTGAGGGTCAGTGAGAAAACCCCAGGCACAGCTGTGTCCCCTGGGAAGTGTGTATGCAGGGGATTGATGACAGGGGGTGCCCCGGACCGGAAATACCTGATGGACCAGAATTAGGAGAGGAGGAAAGCAGACAATGGGGTAGGAGGTGGGAAATGGGGAAAAGAAAGGAGAACTGTCACTCATCACCAGTAAAACAAGTGGATTCTCTAAACTGACACATAAAACAAAGTGGTTCCATGTCATGGGTCAGGCTGTAAAGGGGTGAGAGGTCAGCTCAGGCACTCGCACAGTCATACAGTAGTCAGGAATTAGTCATGACTCTCAATCAGTCACACTTCAATCTGGACAGGGTCAGGGTCAGGGTCAGGAGGGCAGTTTAGATACTCACAAAGTCACACTTTAGTTTGAAAAGTGGTCTGGGGTTGGAAGTGGGGGTCAGGAGGTTAATGCAGACACTCACACAGTCACACTTTGGTCTGGGCAGTGGTCCCCAAAGGTTCCCCCCTGCTCCTTGAAGATGATGAGGTTCCAAACAGCCAGAAACGTATCCTCGGGAACATGGAAGTGGAAGAGCTCGGTGCTGGCAAAGGAGCGGAAAGGACTCAGCTTGCGGGGTGAGCAGGTGGAGTAATCAGTCAGGAAAAGGCCTCCTGGGAAGCAGGAGAAAAAGAAAGGAGCAGGGCAGGACAGAGGGCATTTCCATTAAGCAACAGGCATGCAGTCTTCCTCACCAATAGCACCAACTCAACAAACACTCTCCTCTGAGCCAGGAACTGGGTCTCGCACTGCCCTGGCCATCATCTGGTTTAATCCTTAAGGTGGCCTTGTAAAAAAAAAAAAAAAAAAACCTCTTTTTACAGATAGGGAAACTGAGGCTTAAACCTAGATCAAACTGATGATGAAATGTAGTTCTGTCTAAATCCAAAACCAGGACCCTTTATATGACCTCACAGCTGCACCTCACTTAGGAACCATTGTTCTCCTCTTGCCAAGCCTAACAAAACAGAGGTGTGGAAGGGAGGGAGGGTGTGTGTGTGTGTGTGTGTGTGTGTGTGTGTGTGTGTGTGTGTGTGTGTGTGTGTGTGTGTGTCTGTGTGTGTGTGTGCTGGCATAGGGTCTTAAGCCACTAAGCAGGCTGGAACTCCACCTGTGGGGCTTGGGAGTCAGCATGGAACTGTGTAACTTCCTTGTTTATTTTCTTCCCCTTTCTGTTCTCTTGTGGTTAGAAGCAGTAAAAACCCTCAGAAGCTTCACAAGGGCTGTCTGTGTACTGGCTCAGGGCAGGAGAGGGGAGGGGAAAGTGTGGTAAGGCTTCAAGGGGCCTGCTTGGGTGGCAGAGGCAAGGACAAGAACTGGCAGGTCACCACAAGAGTCCCCAGAAAAGGAGGAAAGGAGAGTCATCAAGCCCTCTAGGGTCAGAATGAACAGCCGGACCACAAGAGTCCCCAGAAAAGGAGGAAAGGAGAGTCATCAAGCCCTCTAGGGTCAGAATGAACAGCCGGGGAGCATTTCCCCAGAGGGAGACCCAGGGAAGCAGTCAATTGTTGACCCAGTGGAATCTCAAACCCCTTGGGAATATTCAGAGCAGGCCAGGTTGGGAGGTGGGGAGAAAGTGGTCATCTTTAGCTGAAATGCTGGGATACCTAATCATGACTGTCACGAGTAGAGCCAAGGTGAGCAGGAAAGCCTGGTGTCAGCAACTAGTCAGGCAAACATACGGGGATGAGGACTGCTGTACTAGTAAAGATAATCCACCACTCAGCTGGGTAAGAGAAGAGGACCACAAATGTCAGGCAAGGTCCCCCAGCTTAAAGCTCTGGGGAATCTGACTGCTCTGTGGACTTCAGACCAGCCCCAGAGAAGACCATCCAGCCCCTGGAAGCCTCCAGGACAGGTGAGAAGTTGGGGAACTCAAGCAGCTTCAGGACAGAGTAGGGGCTGGAGGTAGGAGAGACTCTGGAGGGAAGTTTTCCACCAAGTAGGAAGCCCTGCTAACAGGGCTTACCTAGTCTGATGATCCCCTTCTCTGAAGATGGGAGACAACTCCAAACATGACGGGTTTGAAATAACAGAGAAAGAGGCATGTGGGAAAGGAGGCTGCTGAAGGAGGGAACCCTGGTTAAGGCTGGCCCTTCAGAGAGCTGCCCTATATAAGTGGAGACCATAGGCCCTAGACTGGCCTGTGCTCTTCTTCAAAGCCAGTGATTACACCCAAGGACTAGTTAGTCTGCCCAGTTCAGACCACGTGACCAGTCTCAATTGTCAGCAAGGAAGACCTGACACCTTGCAAGCTAAGCACTACCCAGGAACCCAGAGAGGCACGCAGAACAGCATTCAGAAAGCAGTGGAGATGTATCTGAGAGGGATGAAGGGAAATGCACACAACTGAAGGGAGAGATAGGTTTCCTAGGAGCCCTGGCTGTGACAACTGAGAGGAAGAAGGCAAGAGCTGAACAGCCTGGATACTAGTTACAAGAAATCAGAGCTCTGGAGCACCCTCTGCTGGGGTAGGGAAGGGCTGCTCCTCCTTAAAGCTAGTACCAGGGATAGGACATCTGATCAGCCATTGCTATTGTTAGGAGAAATGTTGGTCAGTCCCTTAGTGCAGACCCTCAGAGAGCTAGTGTTAAAAAGCAGCTAATGACCTTTGGGAAGCATGAACAGATACGCACAAAGAGCCCTGTGATTCAAAAGACCATGATGTAGCCTGGAGAACTGGGGACCTAGCTAAGCCATCCCCAAAATGGCCAGGGGCTATAAATGTCACAGAATAGGTTGGTGGGGAAAGGGAGTGAGCAGCAGTTGGGAATGCTGGGAGGAACCTAGACGTTCTGAAGGCAGATGCTTGAGAAAGGATCCACAGCCCCTTCACCCCAAGCTTTGGTTTAGAGTTTGAACAGGCCCTACCAGGGCTGTGTCCCAGAGCCAGGCATGAGCAACGCTCTAGCCAGGCTCAGATGAACCTATCCTAGATGTCTCAGTACTTCTACGATGTAGCTAGGGTGGTTCCCCACCATCACACAAACCACACATACACATGCTTTCACACACACACACACACACACGCACGCACGTACGCACATACCTGTGGGTGCACACACACAGGCTGAGGCTTGCCCTGCTAGTGATAGCACTAGACAGAATAAAAGGTCATTTCTTGAAATGGCAAGGCATGCTTGGGTTATTAAGTGCAAACAGCTAAGCCCAAGGAAAAGACCCAAGGATCAGGGGTGGGATGAGGACAGCTAGGAGGTAACTTCCGTTCCTGAAATGAGATTGGAGCCAACAAGAAGCATTTGTGCAGTCCTGTGCTGTGATAGTCCTGTGATACTGCCAGGCTCTCCTCAGACAAAACCCATCACTACCACCAGGTCACAGAGCACCCCTGCACACCAGGCCACAGTTGCCAAGATATTGACTATTAACATCACTAAGGGTGGCTCCACCTGCAGTTGGCACTATTCGGTGCTCTTTTCCAACTTCATTACAATTCTCCCCAAAGCGCCTGAACCTGCTTCCAGGCAATTGAGATTTTATCCACAACTTTCAGCTTTATACACTCTGTGGCTATCAGTCACTTCCTCCCCTAGCCAACCCAGTGGCTCAATGGGCCCCTTAACGAAGAAGCCATGATGGCAGGGATGGAAGCTATAAATTGAGCTCAAAACCTGACTGGCTACTGCCTCTGCTGAGTGCCCAACTTGTCAGCAGCAATAATCAACACTGAGTCCCCCATGGCTCCTTCCTTCAAGGAGATTGGCTGGAGGTGGATGGATTATTTACATGTGTTGTGGGGGCCGGCCCGTGGCTCACTCAGGAGAGTGCGGTGCTGATAACACCAAGGCCACGGGTTCGGATCCCATATAGGGATGGCCGGTTGGCTCACTGGGTGAGCGTGGTGCTGACAACACCAAGTCAAGGGTTAAGATCCCCTTACCAGTCATCTTTTAAAATAAAAAATTTTTAAAAAAAAATACATGTGTTGTGGGAGGCACTCAACACTGCTTTCATCCTAGGAACTATCTACTTCTGAAGGTAACACTTCAGTGATCTATCTGTATGAGGAGTAGGCAGAACTGAAGAGGAATGTGCGTGGGCCACATGTCCCTTCCCCCTCACACAATAACATGGGCACTCAGAGGACACACTGGCTCACATGCACCCCACACAACATACATGTGCCTACACTTACCTACACACAAGCATGTATTTACGCTGAACATGCCAGCATTCCCACAGGTCCCTCAGTTACACACACAGACACTTAAGTGTCCAGACATCTCTTCAGGGGCTGTGACCTTTGGTGTGTATGGATCTCCTCAAGTTTGTAAACTGGACCAGGCCCCCAGTGTCACTGAAACCCACCTCCCACCCCCAGCTGCTCTGTTAGCTGCTATTGCCAAAGAATCCATCCTATCAAGAGTGCCCCCCCTGGAGGTGGCAGGGGCTGGGGCCATGAAGATTATAGTCATTTCATGATGGGGCCATCTTTATAGCACATTCCCTAGGCCAGGACCTCCTCCTCCTCCCACATTCCATCCATTAAAAAGTTGGACCTCTCCCTCTCTTATCCAAATCCCTTCCTCACTGGATGGTGACCCTACGCTGACAACTGGCAAATGAGGAACAGTTTGTGGATGAAGTCCCCTTGTGGGCAAACAGGAGAGAAGAGAGGTGTACTTTGGGCCTTTCCCAACTTGGGTCTGTTTTTCTATTAAGCATATACTGCAGTGAGGAGGAAAAAAAATAGTATGGGATAGGAATTATCCAGCACTGCCATTTGCAAGCTTTATGACCTTGGACAAATTGCTACCTCACTGAGCCTCAGTTTCCTCATCTGTAAAATGGCCTCTGAGTTTCAACCCTGCTCCCAAAGTGTCAGAAATTATTCCTAGGCAAACCAAGCTGCCCTGGAACAAGACTCATTACAAGAAGAAAACACATTATAATGGCAACTAATCCATGTTCTTCTGTTGCTACATGTTATCTTCAAAACCATTTTCTTAACCCTGTTTGAATGCATGCCCAATATCTCAAAGGTTTAGGCTATATCTTCCCACACCGACCTATGTCACCCTATCAAACTTTGAGAGCAGGAGCAAAGCCTTCAAGACAAAGCAAGAATCACAGTGGGATCAGGATGGACACCAGAAAAGAAAACCCAGGAGTCTATCCTAGGGACTGTTAGCCACCTGCTGAGCCTCAAACTCAGTTACCACTCTTCGACCCTGCCATTTCCTCTGCTGTGTAAGACCTCTCTCCTCTCTATTTTCCCCCACTTCTTCCCCAATGATCTAGTTCCCCAGGTCCCACCTCTCCTGAATCTCTCCAGCTCACCCCTCCCTGCTGGAACCCATCCCCTGCCTCAGTCTATCCTGCTTCTGCACTCACCAGCCGCTGGGCCAAGGACAGAGAACAGCAACAGCAGCAATAGGGCTGGCGGCAGCTGGAGCCCAGACCTGAGCCGAGGCTGGGAGAGGGGCAGAGTATGAGAGAGGGGGGCAGCTAGTGGGAGAGACTTGTGTAAACACAGAGATGAGGGCAAAGGCTGAGATAAGAGGTTGGGTTGTGCTGGGCACTGGGGCTTGAACAAGGGCAGGGCATGGGATGGAAGGAGGGGCTGTGATGGGGACTGGAGCAATGGCTGGGGTTGGGCCAGGGGTTTAAGCAAACACTGGGAATGGGGTTGGGACAGGGGCTGTGCTGGGATTTGTGACAGGGTATGGTACGAGGGCCCAAGCGGGGATAGGGGCCAGGCCCGGGGCAGAGACTGGGACCGGAGGGGGAACCTGGGTAGGGACCCGGACCTTGGCATTCGCTGGGACCCAGGCCGGGACTGAGGCCGATTTGGGAAGCGGGGCGAAGGCGGGGCCGGGGGCCAAGGCCGGGATCGGGATAGGACGAGGGGCCGGGACAAGGGCTGGGCCATGGCCCGGGGCGGGGGCGGGGCCGGACAGGCCAGCGCGGGGCGCTCGCAGAGCTGACCCGCGGCTCCGCTCCCCACCCCCAGGGGGGTGGCCTCCGGTGTCCTCGCGGGCCGGGGCCGGGGCGGGGACCTGGGTGAGAGTTCAGGCCTGGGCGACTCCGGGCTGCGCTGAACCGGCGATAACCAGGCCCCGCGGCGGCGGCCTCGGCCTCGGCCTGACGTCCACGTGACGCCCCGCCCCCCGACCAGTTCTATTGGTCGCTCTCAGTAAAGCCCGCCCCCTGCCCTATGCCATTGGTCTATAACTTCGTCCTGCTGGGCTTCGAGGACAAACTCCGCCCAGCCCCAGCCCCCTAAGAGCTTGCCTTTCTCATCCCAACCAGAGTCCCCACGCCCTCCTCAGATCCTCAAAGCCTCCATTGACCGCTGCCCAGAAGTCTCATAGGAACCCTACAGAGACCCTCACAAACCCAGACTCCCACAGATATCTTCAGATTCTACCCAAATACTCGCTCACAGAGATCCCGCAACTCTCCCTTTTCAGAAGTGAATCCTCTGGGTTCGTCCCCTCCGGGCCCAGTGCAGCCCCTCAAGGAGACCTCACCCACCGGGGAGGTGACCAGACAGCTGTTGCCATGGAGACTACGCGGCGGCGTTCTGGTTGCGCCGGTGACCGATCCCTCCTCTCCCCGCTCCGGGTTCCAGAGGCTTCAGTCAAGCCCCCCTCCCTCATCGGCCTTGGACCCCGTGGTCCCCCCGCCCCTTACCCTCCCTTCCCCAGGCCAGCATAGAGGTCCTTTGCGAAGATCTGCAGATGTCCAAGTCCCTCCCCAAATAGTAGTCTCGGGCAAGGCCTTTTACCACCCAGCGCCTGCAGCTGGGGCTCATCGACAGCCAAGAGCCTTCCCTCCCTCGGGACCAACACTTGCCCTATCATCCGAAGGCAAGATTCCGACCTGAGGACTTGGAACAACCAAGCCAAAGCTCAGAGGTATGTAGTTTCTCCAACGGCCCTCTCCCTCCAAACCTTCATCCTGTTCCTCCTCCTACCACCTTCAGTCTCTCTCTGACCCCTCCATCCAAACCCCTCCCATTCTCTATTTTTCATCCCCCCCCCCCAATTCCTTCCTCCCCTTCTTTCTCCTTCCTCTCCTCCCATCTTCTGGTTTTCCTTCTAGCTGACTCTGGTCATCTTTCTCCCCATCATCCTACCTCTGCCCTTACTTCCCTTCCCAAACTTTGTCTTTGGAAAGGCTCTGATTAGTTTAACAAGTGATATATCAAGTGTCTCCAGAGCATGGGGAGAAAGTAGGGAGCAGGGAAAGTTAAGGCAGGAATCCTCAGTCAGTGTTGCAGATAATTCAGGGCCAAGAAATTTGGATTTAATTCTTTAGGTTGAGTCACTGAATGTTTTTAAGCAAGGGAATGCGAGTGTTGGGTTTACATTTTAGAAAGATCTTGATCAGGAGGGAGGACTACCTCTTTTGCATATCCTTCCAGGATAAATTAGGCATACCGTCCTCCCCACAGCATACTGGGCTCACCACAAGCACAACATCAGCTCATTTGTATTGTCACTGTTGGTTAACTTGTCTCTCTCCGACCCAGCTGAGTCCAGCACTGAGCACAGTGCCTGAGTAAAAGTGTAAGATTAGGCTCTTTGAATGAATGAAAGAATGGGTGAGTGAATTAATACGCTGGGGATGGCAGTGGGAGGCAAAGTTATTACACAAGCCAGGGAGAAGATTACGGGAACCTGAACAAAATCAGAGGGGTAAGAGAGGAGAGAAGGCATTTTGGTAATATTCAGAAGATAGGAAATATACTTCTTGATGCCTATCTGAATGTGGGGGGCTAAGGGGAAAGGATAAGGCTAGGATAATTCCCAGAGCTCAGTTTTGATGCCTGTGGGATATCCAGTTAGAAATGTCCAGCAGGCAGTTTGGTATGAGTGTGAAATACAGGGGTCAAAAGAAGTCTGAGCTGGAAATACGGATTTAGGAGTCATCACTATACAGCTGGAAATAGTTGAAGCCTTTAACACAAATAACATCATCAAGGGAGGGTATGTGTGGTCTCTAGACAAACCAGACTATGGGCAGGGTCCTGCCTTATGCATCATGTCATTCTCCTGTACTCTTGGGAGCCAACCCCAACTTTGGCTTGGTATCCCCTGTCTCTGGAGCTCCGTAGCCTGACCCTTAGCACCCTATGATATGCCTAGGGCCCTGCTCTTGGACTGGCCGAGCAGCTGTGTTCAGGTTCCCTCCTGGGGGGCATGGTCCCCTGCTACTGTCTACTGATGGGATTCTGACTACTTCAGCTTTTGAAACTTTAAGTCCCAGCCCCCTCCCTAACAACCTATAGCAGCATACCACATGAACGTGGGTGAACCTCCCAGCACCAGACCCCAAGACCCAGAGCTCCTCTTGCTTCCCTCTTATATCTCAGGTGCACTGAGGACCTAATCCTAATTTCACAACCCCCTGTGAGCCCTCAGCTCTGCCCTGACTTGCAGACACTCCAATCCCTACCTAATAAAGCATGTATCCTATTCTGCCATTAGATGGAAGCAGACGAGGTCACAGAAGAGCCTCCTACCATCGTGGATCCAAAGGAGCACCCTCCTTCAAAGGACTCCTCTGCTGAGGACCCACAGGAGTCCCCTATCTCTGGAACTCCCTTGCAGCCTTCCATCTCTGAGACCCCTTTAGAGCCCCGCACCTCTGAATCCCCTTTGGTGCCTTCCCCTTCCCAGACCCCTTTAGAGTCCCACACGCCTTTGGTGCTAAACCCTTCCCAGACCCCATTAGAGACCCACACCTCTGAAACCCTTTTCAAGCCTTCCATCTCTGAGATCCCTTTGGAGACCCCTATCTCTGAGACCCAATTGGAGACTCACATCTCTAAGGTCCCTGAGAAACACCTTATTTTTCAACACTTAACAGCAGGTCAGGTCTCTGTGTCTTCCTCTAACACTTTGAGGGAAGACCTCTCCTCTGAGTCTTCTTCCAGTGAGGTCCCATGGACAAGGAGGTCCACTCTGGTACCTGAATCTGAGAGATTTCCAAAGCACTCCTTTTCAGGCCCTTCAGCCCAAGTCCACCTGGATACCTCTGCAAAGCAGAAGGAAGAAGCAGGAGAGAACGAGGATGGAATGGAAACCAGTCACTGCGCTGCTCACACACCCCAGCCTGGACACCAGCTGGGCAAAGAGAAGTGGAAGAAAGGACTTAGCTGTAATTGTTCCTGCCCTTTCCCCTGTTCTCATCACTGTCAACTGTCCTTGACCTGCCCAGAAGGAGGGGCTTGAGTTACTCTTGCACATGGCCCCTTCTCTAAGTTTTACTTCCCCCTGGTAACTCAGCCCCTCTCTTTCCAGGTTACACAGTCCACCCAGACATCCCTGCTAAGCAGGAAGAGGTGGTGGAAGTGGCTAAAGCAATGCACAGACAGCAGTTTGGTGCTCAGGTGAATCATCTTTTCCAGTGGGAGAAAAATGCATCCCTCAATGCCATCCAGACAGGTGAGCCCAAATGGCCTTTCAGAGGCCTGTGACAGGTGAATGGCAACGTGAAAGGATCTGAGAAGCTCCCCATTCAATGGATAGCTGACCCTTGTGGAAATGGCAATGCCACCTGCCTGGAATCTGGAACGGGAGCAGGCAGGTGGGCCAAGGAAAAACCAGGGTGGACAGACAAAAAGTGAGGATATTCATATAAAGCTCAGGTAGGGACAGGTAACTAACCTGAAATTATTAAAAACAGAAGGGCCAAAGGCCAACCCCAAATCTAGAACCCAAGGAGCCTGCACAAGACAGACCCTAAGGCAGAGATGGCCCAGGACCCTGGATAGTCTCCAGGAGCCTTGTTGTTCTGACATGGCAAAAGGCCTTGGAGACTTTGGTGGAACTCAATGAAAAGGCTGTCACCCCTGCATGCCAAGCCCTTCATTACCTGGGTACCCAAAATCTTTGCGTCTTCTCACCAAAAAGAAGAGCTGTGTCCTCTAGCCCTGTTGATTGCACATCTCAGCCCAGAATTAGTACTCTTGACATGGGCATGCTGTGTGCAGATGAACTGTGTAAACACGTCATCCTGTGTGTAAGCATGTCTACCTGTGTTACTGAACTTCATATCTATAGGGGTTACCTTCAGTAAGAGGGCCACCCTGATCTGCTATGTGAACTTGGGGATTTCTAAACTGAATTCAATGGATGTCACTGCCTTTTATTTTGGTCTTTTATACTTCCTTTCCCTTATGATGGGAACAGAGCTATGTCAAAATGCCTAGACAACCAGATAAGTCTATATCCTTATTCCTCTTCCATGTAATTTACTTTCCCCATTACCATGCAGGTACCCTTCCCCCTCCACCCCTGGTCAAGAAAGTCACAGTGATCTCATTTGTTTCTCAGTCTTACTTCTGGCATTGAAACAGCTTTGTTTATTTTAACATCTTCTGTTGCTCTTATTTTCTTGCAAATGCAGGGTCTGTTCAGTCCCCTCATTCCCCTTCTCAGAACCTCCTGTCTTCTCCTCACTCTTCAAGACCACTGCATTTTTTCTCCTTCGAATTGAACATCTTCATTTTTCTTTTTAAGCAGGCAGTTTTATACAGAAATTTAAGTGTCATTCAATCCTGAACAAAGATATTAGGGGTCCCCTTCTAACACCAGGGATCTTGAGTCCCTGGAGAGTCAGGACTCCATAACAGTATATGTGATGTGTAGAGAAGTATCAAGTGTAAGCTTTTCTTTTATTCATTCAACAAACATTTATTGAGCACCAACTAAGTGCCAGGCATTGAACTAGCTGTGGAGGTGGTGGAGCTGGTGGGGTTTCAAAGACAAAATCCCTCGAATAATTCACACTCTAATGTGAGACATCAACAAGTAATAATTCACTCTAATGATTGCTATAATTGAGGTTAGCCCAAAGTGCTGTATGAGTAAAGAAAAAGGGTGCTCAATCTGGGGTGCTCAAGGAATAAATAACCTTGGAAGGAATGTCTTCACAGCTGATCTCTCAGTGCTGTATGAGTAAAGAAAAAGGGTACTCAATCTGGGGTGCTCAAGGAATAAATAACCTTGGAAGGAATGTCTTCACAGCTGATCTCTGTAAGATGAGGAAGAAGAGATGGTCGAGTATAGAGTAGGGTAAGATGAGACACAGCAGGGCAAGGCACCACAGGAAACCATAGCAATGCCTTCTGCACGGTGCATAGAGGGTTGGGGGAAGTAGCCCAGCTCAGCACTAGAAGGGCAGAATTGTGCAGGCATTTGTGTGCCGAGCTAAAGAGCTGGGATTATATCCTTAAGGCAACTGAGCATCCCCCCCCAAAAAATTTAAATAGGGCAATAACATGAATAGATTTGTGTTTCTGAAAAATTACTCTGGAAATAGGATAGACTGGAGAAGGAAGGATGTGAAAATCTGAGTGGGAGGTGCTGTCTGGTTCTCCTCTCACATTTAGGCAGCACCGCCCTTGCCTCGTGGTGAGACTGGCCGTGAAGCCAGACCATTTCAGATCCCACTACTGAACACAGGCTCTCAAGGGTTGTGGCCTCTCCCTAGTGCCTCCTCTCAGGGGTACTGAGCCTCACCTTCCTTTCCATGTCTCCCTTCTTAGCCTCACAACTTATTACTTTTGGTCTTTACCACCCATGACTTTGGACCTACCTCTTTCTCCCAACCCTTGGCCATAGGCAGCCCTTCGTAGGTTCAATAACACCAGAAACACAGAAGGAAAGTATAAAGGTACCACCCTGGAGAAGTGAGGGGAAGCCTTCCTCCTATGTCCTGGCACCAGGGCTGCCCAACCTCCTCCTCCTCTTCAGGTACCTTCAATAACTATGCTCCTTAGGAGCCAATCCCCATCATCTACTGTATGCCTAGCCAATCATCTTCCCTCACCGCAGACACTTCAAGGAAACAAGCAAAGTTGAGCTTTAATGTGGTGAGGGGAGGAAATGAGAATCCCAACAGAGAACTCAGCAAGACTCATGTTCATCTTCAAACAAAAGTTCATCTATAATCTCCCTGCTCAGAAATTGAAGACTATCTTTAGTCTCTCTGACAGTCTGACAGAGATGGAGTGTGGATCCTGGGGTGGGAAAAGAACTGCAGACATTTGTGGGGTGATGAGAAAACCTTGAGGAAAAAAGTCTAAAGGGGTAGAGGTGAGGACTCATGGGAGGAGATAAATTCACCTGGGTGGGATAGGTGAGAATACCTTGGGGGAGCTTAGGACTTTTTTCCTTCTCACTTTTCCTTATTACTCAATCCCTCCACACCTAGGTCTCTACATCGGCTGGCGCTGCCCCCATTACCTATGGGACTGTTTCCGGATTGGGAATGAGTCCAAGTGCTTTTGTGGTCACTTGCTGAGAGAGCACCAGGTCATCTCAGGTAGGGGACAACTGACCAGACCATCGAGTGTGGAGGTATAACTGTACTCCGTCATGTCTTGGGACATATGACAAAAAGTGTGTGTGTGTGTGTGTGTGTGTGTGTGTGTGTGTACATGGGAGGGTGGTAAGCACGGGAAGGCCAAGCCCTATCGGGTGCTGGTCTAACCCCACCATCCATCCCCATTCCCATAGACATATCCGTACCCTGCCATGTGAGCCAGTGCCGCTGCCTCATGTTCTGCTTTATCCCATCACGCCCAGAGGAGGTGGGTGAATTCTGGCTCAAGAGACGGGCCACCTTCGACCCCAAGGCCTGGAGAGCCCAATGTCGCTGCAAACACAGCCATGAAGACCATGCAGCCACTGGGTCCCATCCCTGCAAGCATCATGGTACCTTCTAGGGCAAGGGGAGAATAGGGGAAGGGGAGGAGTGGGGATAGGATACAAATAGTTTGGGGATGAGGATGGGGAGCTGGTAGGAGACTTGGGCATGTGATTGGTAAGGAAGACGTGAGCATGTAGTCAGCCCATCGGGATGACCCAGTTACCCGTACTGTTTTGGGCTGCCTTTTGCTCCAGGCTGTTGCTGCAACTGTTTTGAGTCTAATTTCCTCTGTGCGGCCTGTGACCGGTGCTGGGAGGAACATGAGACTTTCTTTGAGACCAGGGAGACCCGGCGACGAGGAGGAAGGCCTCAAGGTGAGGGAGCAACCTGGGACCATTCCAGGGTCTGTAGTCAGAAGACCAGGCAAGAAGGCACTTCCCCCTCAACCATCCTCTCCAGGACTACCAACTCCCTCACCGTCACCACCACCCCTCATGTCCCATGCCTGCACTGGTTTTCACCCCCAGGAGCAGACTATGTGCCTTTTGCAGAGATGCCTGTCCTCCAAGAAGCCACACTCAACAACTCTGATTTCGTGGCCCTACAGATGCACGGGCCCTCTGGCCATCCCAGGTCCCATCTTAGTCCCCCTGGGCTCCCTGGCCCATGCATCCTCCACCCTGACCCCACATCTGACCCCCGAACCTAACCCTTTCACCTTTGCTCTTCCCTCCTCCAGGGACAGACACTGTCAACAACTGGCGCAGGCCTTTGTGAGCCTGGCCCAGATCAGCAGTAAAGCAGAAGTCACAGAAATCTGACCTCACCTGTCCTCCAAGAAGCCACACCCAACAACTCTGATTTCGTGGCCCTACAGATGCACGGGCCCTCTGGCCATCCCAGGTCCCACCTTAGTCCCCCTGGGCTCCCTGGCCCATGCATCCTCCACCCTGACCCCACATCTGACCCCCGAACCTAACCCTTTCACCTTTGCTCTTCCCTCCTCCAGGGACAGACACTGTCAACAACTGGCGCAGGCCTTTGTGAGCCTGGCCCAGATCAGCAGTAAAGCAGAAGTCACAGAAATCTGACCTGGCTCTGTATGGGGTGGGTAGAGCCCAGCCCAGGGACAGACACCCTAAGACCTCAGAGTCAGCACCTACTGGGTGCAGGAGAGAGGCTGGATCCAGCTATCTGTCTCCATCACGCTCACTTTCAAGCTGCTGGCTCTGATATCCAGAAGTCACAGAAATCTGACCTGGCTCTGTATGGGGTGGGTAGAGCCCCGCCCAGGGACAGACACCCTAAGACCTCAGAGTCAGCACCTACTGGGGGCAGGACAGAGGCTGGATCCAGCTATCTGTCTCCATCACGCTCACTTTCAAGCTGCTGGCTCTGATATCAGAAGGAGAGTAACTTCAAGGAAGCCAAGGAGGGAGGAAATTTCAAGGACAGAGTGAGCAGTGATGTTAGATGCAGCTGTGGCTCCAGTAAGATAAAGACTGAAAGACATTAGACTTTGCAATTGGAAGGTCTTTGGGGACTGCAGAGAGTGCAGTTTCACACTAGTGCAGTGGAAGCAGAAGCCAAACAGCAGTCAGTTTGAAGGAGTCTCTTCAAGAAGCTTGGATGAAAAGCACAGAGGAGAAGTCAGACAATATCTGGAGGGAAATGTGGAGTCAAGGAAGCACTTTTTAGGAAGGAAAAGAGGAAGAGGCCAGGAGAAAAAAAGACCTTGAAAGATACAGGAGAGAGAGAGAGGAGAGATGTCTGGTGAGATGAGATCCCAGAGATGGAGGGAGGGGATGAGATCAAGGCAAAGGTGAAGGGAGGACAGGAGAAACACCACTTCCTAAGACCAAGAGGATGGAAGAAAGGATGGGGCCTCCACTGAGCTTCAGGGAACAGGATCTTGTGGAAGTTCCCTTCTGATAGCTTCTGTATTCCCTGTGAAGCAGGAGATAAGGACAACTGCTGGTGGGGAAGAAAAGGGATAAGAGTGGGGAGAAGGAGATAGGAAGAGAAAGGTGAAGGTTTGGGAAGACTTATGTGGGGAACTGGAGAAAAACCTAATCAGTGAGTAGTATAAGATTCAGATACAGTTGGAAGCGAGAACCTGGTTAGAGAAGCAGAGAAGCAAAATATTTAGATTAATGGGTGGAGATGGGTAGGTGTCAAGGAAGATAATCAGGAAAATAAGGCAAAAGAAGAAGGCATGAGGAGGAGGAGAGAGTAGACCACACAAACAGGGAAAGAAAGCAAAGCCAGGAAGCAATCGACAGACTGAAAAAAGAGCAGTCAAAGAAATAGAAGTCTCTAATGACATCCAGTAGCAGATGTAATGACAGGGACTGAAGTATAGGAGACAGCAGTCAGAGTCTACAGAGCTTTGCAGCTTTCAAATGAGAGCAGCTGCAGGTGAAAACAAGTGCATGCAGTAGAGAAGACTGTAGGCCAGGGGTCAAAATCAGTGAATGTGGAGAGTGACTAGAACATCCATAGATGATTCTTATGAGAGTAGGAGATTCTGACTCTAATAGGCTCTGTGACCACAGGCAAGTCACTCTCCCTCTTCGGGCTGCAGTTTCTGGATCCGTAAAACAGGAATAACCTCTGTGTTGCCTGCTCTCTATGAAAACCCAAGGAAATACCAGTTTCAAGGTGCTTTATACTCACCAACTCCTCCCAACTGGTTTCCTTCCTCCTCCTAAATCCCAGCTGCACTTATCTCTTGCCTTCACCAGGGTAGCTCTAGGGTCTCCCAGTATCCTGGAGTTCACCACAGAGAACTGCAGCCTCTGGGGCACAGAGAAGAGGCCATTCTACATCTCCTCACATTTAGGGAGGCCATCTGTCCTCCAAAGGAAGGAATGCAGCCTGGACTGCTAAGACCCTTGAGGAAAATCGCAGGATTAGATGTCTGCCCTTTGGAGGAGAAAACACTTTCTAATAACAATATAGCTATCCAAAAGAAATTGTATTATCTTTGGAAGTAAAGAGTTCCTCAATACTGGTTATATGAGCCATGATAACCAATCACAATTAATTCAACTGATAGTCAACAACAGAGGAAGGGTTACTATGATAAATTCATTCAAGGAAATATTACACAACCATTACAAAGTATATTTACATAGACTATGTAATAATATGAAAAACTGTAAGCGGGAGAATAATATAATATACAATACATATTATAACATATTATGAATGTTATTATTTAACAACTATTGAGCACCTATATGTGTCACACCATGTGCTAAACTAAAAATACAGTGGTAACTTGTCCTATGTGTTAAAGGTCAGACTAAAACTTACTTGGTGTGTCTGAGTATATCAGTATTTTGTAACCTCATGTTTCTCATGTCAAAAATATGTAGTCCAGCAAAGCAAACCCGACACCAAAAGTGCCAGGCACCGAGCTAACGGTACCACACACCTTTCTGATGGGAAAAGAAAATTGGATAAATACTCCTTTGCTTATTAACAACACGACAAAGACAGGATGCTCCCATCCCCGCCTGTTGCAAAAATCGCTCTGAAAACTGGAGTGAATGTGTTAACAAGAACATAAAATTAAGGAGGGATTGCCCTTGGACGAGTAAGTTAAAATCCTTAACATGCTGGAGGAACTGAACTGCCTTTGTGGAGAAAATGTTGGGTATCGACCCCACCACTTGGAAAAACGACCCTGTTCCAGATCACCTTTAGCCCGCCCGGGTGCGTCCCGGAGCCAGTAAGCGCCCAGTGCCCTCAGAAGCCCGCCCGCCGCCTGGCCAGCGCGGTGGAAGGGTCCGAAGTATTTAGTTAGTATTTAGTCTTTCGCGCAGCAGGTGACCGAGCCTTGGCCGCTTCCAGCCCACCAGTAGCGCCCAGAGCTGAATAGGACGAGCCAAAGACGTAAAAGCCCCACCGAGTCGGGAGCCGCAGCCTAAGCCGGGCCAGTGTCGTGCACCAGGTCCCGCCAGGAGAAGATCCCGCCTGTAGCTCCCGTAGCCCTTCCCGTGGAGTGAAGTTTATCTCCCAGCGAAACTAGTTAGGGGATCCAATGGGAAAGGAACCTGCACCCTGACTAGACGACGAAGCCAACGGGGAGGAAAACTGGCCCTGAGTTGGCAGAAGCCGCCAATGGGATGAAAGGTCCCGCCTCTAAAGTGGCGGCGGATCCAATGCGGTGAATAATTCCCAGGAGCGCGCTCCAATGGGATGGCAGGGCTCGTCCCGGCCACCGACTGAGCCAATGGCCGCCGCTCGCCCGCTGCCCGACAGCCCGCAGAGCCGAGCGCCGACCCCGGGGAGAGGTTCCCGCGGCTCCGGGAAGATGGCGGCGGCCGTGGTGCTGGTCGCCGGGTTGTGCGCGGCGCGCAGAGCCGTCGCAGCTGCGGGGTCACGGGGGGCGCAGGTGAGAAGTGGCCGCGGGGACGAAGAGGGGGTCCCCACGGGCTCTGACGCCCTCCGGGGCCGGGGACCGCGTTCCTCCCAGCTCCCTGCAGCCTCGCGGGGGCCGGAGTCGGAGTGCCCGCCTGTGGCCGCTGCGCTTCCCGAGGAGCAAGCCCCGGGGTAGTGCGTTGAGGTCTGACTGGTGGCCGCAGAAGAAGTGAACGAAAGACGACCGCCGCCTTGCCCAGGCCCGGGCGCCGAGGTCAGGACAGGGTCACTGCAGCGGCGGCTGCCTGCGCCTGCTCCGGGCAGCCACCTCAGTGCCCCCTGCAGTGTGGTTAAAGGAGCACTTGCCTGCAGATCTGTGAGTCCTCACGACTAGTCGTCCACCCCAGGTCAAGCTTCTAGAATAGTAGGAATAAGCCTGAATGAGTAGGAAGAGACAGAAACCAGGTCTAAGACTTGCTCAATCCTAGCCGTTATTCAGAGGCCAAACCAAGTTCTAAGGGGGATTGGGAGGAAGGTGGTCAATGACGGCCTTCTATTCGAGAAGTAATCACACACGCACCCCCAAAATGATGCTACCCTTTCATTACCTCTATGTCTCACCGTTTTGCTCTTAAGCTGTTCAGTGCATGTATTTTCATACTTTAAATTTGTTTAAAGACCCCCCACCCTCACTTTTGAGAATGAAGTAAGCAAACTAAGGAAAAACTGCTGTTGCTTCTCCACCAACACACCACATAGGCTTTTGTCTGATGCCACAACCCCGTGCCTGTCTCCAACGTATCCCCATAAAGAAACACCTTAGAAAGCCGCAAAGAATCCTTAACACGGAGGGCGAGGTGTTAGGCCAGCGGAACCTTAAGAACCCGGCTAAGGCGGAAGGTAGTAGGGACGGAAAGCGACTTCGAGACCGCACCAGGTGTAAGACTTCCGCCCCGCAGAGGTCTTGTCTCCACCCCCACCCTCCACGTCCGCCCAGCTCCAGTTCTGCGCAGTCTCCAGGAATTATTTGCCGTCTCTATGGCAACCCAGTAGCTGGGGTCTGAAGATGGAGACCAACGAGTCTACCGAGGAATCGCGGTCGCGGTGAGAGCAGTAGTTCTTGGCTGCAGGCGTAAGGGGACAAGGAAGGTCAGCGGACTTCCTTTGCTGCGCTTTTGACAACTTTGTCGCACTGGCTTTCTTTCAGATCTTTAGACGTACAGCCTAACTCCGAAGGACTGGGGTCCTCTTCGGAACCGTTTCCTTCTTCGGATGGCGGTCCTAGATCTGCCCTGGCAGCCGCCACCGCAGCAGCTACAGCGGCTGCATCAGCTGCTGCAGCCGCTGCAGCCGCCACCACCGCCAAAGCAGCTGCATTATCTACAAAGACCCCAGCACTCTATTCTGAGTTCACGGAGCCCTCTTCTGACCTCAGTCTTCCTGGGGCGTCC